ACGCTAGAGGAACCGGATTTAGCTGGGGAGATAAAGTCTCCTAACAAGTCATAACTATCTTGAGCAGCATGAGAAACACTCGCAGATTTTACTGCCTTATCTTCCATTTGCGATCCAACTAATAAATCAACATCCATATAGTTTTCAGGGTTAATTTCAGAACCTAAGCCTTTCATCTCCATCTTGGGGGTTTCCAGTTCTGCTAGCTGTGCCTCCAATACACTGGCCTTACTATATAATTCATCAGCATCTCCAGTTTTCCCTTGACGCTTGAAGGCAAGTGCCTTTCTTTTTAAGTCAAGAAGTTCTCTTTGGATTTGTCCCTTGCTTTTGGCTGCTATCCGCGGACCAGTTGACTGCACAGAGCCGAAAGCGGCTTCTGCTTTCTTTGGTTCTTCATCCTCCCATCCCAAATTCTTAAGAGTCGACAATAATGCTGGGTCCTTCATATCAATTTCTGTAACGCTATCATCTCCTCCATTGATTCCACTGTCGGTGGCAAGATCATTGGATCGTTTTTGCAGCTGATCGCTGTCAGCATAAAGATTTTTGCCTGAATCTATCTCAACCATCTGGGCTTCCAATATTTTTGTCTGGTTCAGAACTTCCTCGGCTTCATCAACGTTACCCTGTCGTCGCAAAGTTAAAGCCTTTCTTTTCAGCCCTAAGAGTTCTCGTTGTATTTCAGCTTTACTTCTTCTTGGTTTAGTAACACGGACTTCATATGCACCTTGAGTTTCTGTTGTTTTCCCTGGTCGAGAAATAACTGGGTCAGATTTTTCTGATGAAGAACCTGCAGGATTGTTATCTTCATCATTCCAACCTAAGCTCTTTAGCATCGACAAGTAATTCGGATCATTTAACTCCTCATCTTTTACATCCACGTCTCCATCATCATCCAGAGAACTAATATCAGGCAGATCATTTCCTTTTTCACGAGTGGCCTTCCCTGTGGCAGCTAACTTTGACGAATTGTCCAGCTCATCAAGCTGATTTTGGAGAACTGCTCCTTTCTTCAATTCTTCTTCTGCTTCGTTAAACTTTCCTTCCCTTCTCAAAGTAAGTGCTTTCTTTTTCACTGCAAGAAGTTCTTTCTGAATCGCTAGCCTGCTTCTGGGAGGAAGTTTCAGACTCGTATCCCTCTCTGCCCTAGTTGTATCAACAGTTTGTGAGGACGTATCAGCAGCCTCTAATTCCTTCTCAAGTAATTTTGCCTTCTTTAGTGTAGCCATGGCCTCTACGACATTTCCAGCCCGTTTTAGATTAAGGGCCTCTCTTTTCAATGTCTGAATTTCAGCTAAACTTTCATCTCTGTTTTTAGGAGACGGTCGAGAGTGGACATTCTCACGGTGTCCAGGATCCTCACTCCAACCCAAAGATTTCAATGCAGCAGCGATTGCTGGGTCCTCCATATCTTCATCTGTGACATCAAATTCACCATGAACTCCAATATCATCTACATTTCCCACAAGGTTACTAATGTTGAAATCATGGCTCCCCTCGTATTGAGCTAACAGATCATCTTCTTTGTCATCATCCATACTATTAATAAGTGCAGATAACTCATCATCTGATTCATCAGCCCCGCCCAAAAGTTCCTGCTCTTCCAGTTCCCTTTCCAAAATTTTAGCCTTTTTCAGTTCCTCTTTAGCTTCCGCAAGCTTCCCTTCACGTTTCAGCGCAAGGGCGTTTTTTTTAAGGGCAAGTACCTGACTCTTGTCAATTCCCCCACTCTTCTGAGGATTAGGCTTTCGGGGAATTTCACGGAGAAGAGAAGAAAATTCACCCTCCAAACTTACAGTTGCTGGCTTTTTATCTTCATCGTCAGACCACCCAAGATCCCTCAGCTCAGCTGCCAAATCATCATTTCCTTTACCTCCTTGACGTGGAGGCTTTTGTGATTTACTAGATTCTTTCGTAGCAGCCTTGTTTTTCGTCTCAGCAACATTTCGCATGGACAGATCCCTTTTCCGGTTCCTTCTTAAGGATATCTCTAATGCGTCAGCCTCTCTCTCAAGTTCCTTCCCTCTCTTAAAAGCTTTTAAAGCTTCATCAGATTTCCCTTCTCCTTTAAGAACTCTGTACTTATTCTTCTCTTCTACTGCTTGTTTACGCAATTCTTCAGGACTAGCTGACACAACATCCAACTCCATATCTTTATTACTACTGCTGCTTCCCATTTCTTTAGAAGCAATCCTATCTGTACTCGACACAGATTCCGATGAAGAAGATACATCAACATCAGAGCCTAGAATCTCACTGAGAACATCATCCTCATTCTTTACAGTCCTTTTAGAGCTACCTGCTAAACAAATTCACAACCTCTTTACATCAAAAACTAGCAGATAACACAAGTGTCATCGATAAATCAATAGCCTATATACCTTTAGCAGCTCTATTTTTGTAACCATGACGCAACTCAAACCGTGCAGCTTCTTCAAGTTTCTTACATGGTTCACATATACGTACAGGTGAGTCACCTTGTCCACGTAGTGACATCCTTTGCTGAGTGCAGGTTCCACAGAACAATCCCCCACATCTCCGGCAATGATGCTGCTCACTCAAAACCAAAGCCATATTAAGAAAAAAATTGAGCAAATTCTAAGGTTTTAGGGAGTCACATTCGTAATACACATGGAATCTATCAATTGACTAAGACAATTACCAGAAACCGATGATTCAGTGAAGCTTTTCCGATAAACAGATTCAAAATTAGATCTCGAAGAACAATCGACTAAGACGAAACTAATTTTTGATCTCGATAGCAGTAAGAAAGTATAAATTGATTGAGAGACGAAGAAAATAAGAGAGAAAGACCTTGCGATTGATGAAAGTGAATTGAGAAGAACATCCTTGACAATGAGAAGCATCAACGACCCAACTATTTCCTCTCAGAGATGGTTTCGCCGGTAATCCGATCTTCTCCAACATTTTTCCGTCTGATTCTTCTCCTCCTCCGCCGCGAAACGAATTTGGTTTTGATCGAGCCAAGAAAATAATCGAGCAGATGAAGAAGACGAAGAAGACTAATTATTTTTCTCCTCTATTTTTTTCAGAAATAAATAAATAATAATAAATCTCTCCTTTTTCTTGGTAGATTATTTTAATCAATACGGGCGGTGACCCAGTGCCTAGCGCCTAGAACGCCTAATCGGGGCCTAGACGATTTTTTAGGCGGTTTAGACGTTTATAACATAATACATTATAAATATGATAATATATATATAAGTTATATAAAATATCTATATAAAACTAAAAATTATGAAATTATAAACAAAAACTAGGTAAAATATTTATTTATATTTATATTAAACAATATATGAATATTTATAACTATATATATAAATAAAACTCTAATTGAAATTGAAAAAATATATTAAACAAGATCTATGTAATTTTAGGCGGTCAAGGCGGTTATCTAGGCGTTGAATGAGAACCTAGCGCCTAGTCGGGGCCTAGACGACCGCCTAGACCGCTTTTTAGAACACTGGCAGAAACACATGGGGCTCTATATAGAGCAATAATAGGACTCCATATATAGAGCAATAATAGAGACATGAAACTAACTTTGCTTTGAGACGACGAAACGAAGTTAGAAAGAGAAAACCCTAAAGATTGCTTAGAGACGATAAACACTAAAAATCTCAATTCGTTCACGATGATCGTACCAGTTCGTTGTTTTACTTGTGGAAAGGTTTTTTTTTTTTCTCCTTTTTATACGAATTCGATTCGTTATCTATGTGTGAAAATTTTCTAGGGTTTGTAGAATGGAGATTTACGAAGCTTTTGTCTATGGTTTTTTAGGTGATTGGGAACAAATGGGACACATATCTTGAACTTCTCCAGGCTGATTACGCTGAAGGGTAAGCGATTATGTTTTATGTTTATTAAACTAATTATAATTTTGTGTACATGAGAGTGATTGAACCTAGAATTTTGAATGATTTCTGACAAACAATAGACGAATGATGAATTTTGATGGTTTTATGTTTTAATTATGTTCTTGAATAGTCGAAGAGACTGCATCTTGTATTGTATAGAGTATAGACGAATATATATATATATGATGATGATGAATTTTGATGGTTTTATGTTAAAAAAGAGGATACGAAATTAAGTACAAAACTAGTATCCCTAGTCCTCTAAAAGAAATAATATGATGGAATGATTTGAATCATGTCCTTGTATATAGTCGAAGAGATTGCATCTTGTCTTGTATGACCATCTTGAAGTTCATAGATGTTACCAAAAGCATGATCAAGTTAGGTCACTGAGAGTGTTTGATTTAGTAAACAGTTTTTTTTCTCAAATTGTGTTTTTTTTTCCTTATAGTTGTAATCTGATCAGTGTTGAAGTTTATAGATGTTATCTTTGTTATTAAAGGAGCATGATGGTAGGTCACTGAGATTATGAGATATTCCTTTCTCTAGTTTATATCTCTAGTGTAATCTTTAGCCCTTTAATATAGTTTTAGGCGTTGTGCTACATGATTTGGTATATGCACAATTTGTATTCACACATTGCATTTTGTTGAACTGCAATTTGATTATTGTGTTGGAATATGTAGGGATGCTCTTGATGCGCTTGGATTAGTTCGTTACTGCTGTAGACGTATGCTTATGACTCACGTCGATCTAATCGAAAAGCTTCTAAACTACAACAGTAATATCTTTAGACTCGGTTCTTTAGCCTTGTTAGCTCTACTTTATCCTTTTTTGTTTGTTAATTTGCTTATTCTATTCGAATACTTTTCCTTGCAGCTATGGAGAAATCTGACCCCAATTAAAGAAAGATGCCATGACGAATAACAAATCATCAAGAGCAAAAGTGAAGGAGTGATGCATCTCATTCATGTGGAAGTCTTATCTTGCCTTTCTCTCTGAGGTTAATAACTAACAATGATGTTTCAAAACTTTTGTTGAGTTTAGAAACTAGAAATTTTGATGTTATCAATGTTTTCTCATGTACTTGGTCTTGTAGATTCTTCATCTATTGATTTGCTATTGGTAATCTATTGATTCTTAAGAGTCTAACAAAACAGAGTAATACAAGTTACATAAGAATACAAAAACCCTAACGTTTGAAACTTGAAAACGAATTTACAAGGGAGTCATCTTATAATACACCATTAACAAATGAGTGGAAAGACATTAAGAAATGGGATTTGATTACTCTTTTACTCAAAACAGAGGAAGAGCCAACTCCAACAGTTTGTATGTTCTTTACCTTGGACATTGTCTTCTTTTCCTTCTTCATCGTATGCCTTGCCTGATTTCGAGTCACAACTGATTAGTACCTCTGTAGTATGGTCCATGTTGTCGCCTTCAGAATCTTCCAAGACCTCACTGAGTTCAGAATCGTAGCTCCAATCATGGTTGTCATCTTCAGAAACTTGGTCTAATCTAGTTTTAGTGCTCCCATCACTGCTTTCCTCCACTTCGTTCGTCAAGATTCGCACACCACATTCAATAATCTCGCAGTCTTCATATGTGTAGAGATCAGAGATGTTGCGGAATTCAAACAATAACTCGCTGCTAACTTCAATGGATAAATCTTCTTCAAGAAAGTCACCATGAAAAATACATAGATGTTTCCTTCGAATTCCGGGAGATCCACGAGGATGTCCTACGAGAAACATTTTATGGATAGACCAACTGCTTTTCCCTATGATACGATACTGTAACTTAACATTTTTGTATATTCTTCTGTGTTGATCTTGGATATGCGAAACTATGATGCAAGCCCTAAACCTCAAGGATGCAGAAGCAGAACGAACCATCACAGAGTTACCTCTGGCTCTGTGATTGAACTCACTAGGCATTACTCTTCCGGGTAAGCAGTTGCTAAGAAAAGATTGTTGGATGAATAGTTTTCTTGTTTCTCCATCCAGTTTGAAGCAGTTAGTGAAAATGAGTTCTGCATTTGGAGAGTTTATAGGGAAGGTTACTCTCTCGAGTAACTCACAATTGTCTGCTATCAGGAGAAGAAGCCAATTAGGTAGCTCTGGTAATGATGTAAGTTTTCTGCAGCAAGATAGATAGATGCGTTGTAACCATAGAAGATCTTTGATGCAATCTGGAATCTTGTCAACATCAGTATAGCTTAGATCAAGCCGTCCTACGCATCCGGGGAAGTTTGATGCGTTCTTGTATTTTCCTCTGCCTCTTATATCAATATAATAAAGATGAGACCAATGCACAATCAATGCAGGCAATACATCTACTGATGTGTCTGATATATCGAGAGCGGTGATGTTGGTAGAAAAATTTGGGAAACTTGCCAGTCGTGAGCATCCAGCCATGTGAATCCTCTTGAGAGATGTCAAGTTGACGTTAGTTGGGATAACTTCCAGCTTTTGGCAAGCATCCATCATTATGTCCTCTAGTTTTTGAAGATTCGCAATAGATGATGGAAGCTCTACCAAACTCGTGCAACCACTTAGCTCCAGTGTTTCGAGATTTGTAGCATTTGAAAGATCTGGGAGTTCTTTCAACTCCAGAGAACGAGACAAATCCATCTTCTTGAGATTAGTTAGCAACTGAATGTAAAATGTGACACAAGCAGAAAAATAAGTTTTGTTACCAAACTTAGCACACAATCTCCAAATTTCCAAAAATAACACAAATTTAATATGAAAAAGACTAATATAAGCATTTGATTGACGTTTCACGCGATCGTATTATAATCTTGATTTCAAATTATAACACGTATATTAACTAACCTGAGTTCCTTCCCAGAGCTTCTTGAGTTGGCTATCTTCCATGCTAAGTTCGACTAGATTCTCCGGGCAAAATCTAAGAGGAAGAGTCTTGCTTGGGTATGCCTCCCAACGTAGTAACCTTAGAGGAGGTAGATAGTCCATCTCCTCAGGTATGTGCATTCTAACATTCGCAGCATATGTTGTCTTGTAAACACTTAGAAAACGAAGATTAGACATTTTTCTAAGAGCTTTATCGCTTACAATTATTTCATTGATTCCTGATGTATCAAATGATATACCAGACACACCTCTTGTACCCTACATCAAATTTTATACATAAAGAATTTGTTAGCACAATATAGGGAAGAACTTTTTTAATTTCACCAAGTGATTTTCTAAAAAGTGAAAGGAGCAAAGAAATAAAATAAATATAGAAAAAGGAACTTACTGTATTATTTTCAAGCACATCACAAATCTCTTGAGCATCAATTAAGATCCGGCGTTTCCAAGGCTCTTGTCTACGAATGGCTTGTCTCCCCATTTGTTGTAGTAAATTGTGCATCAATATTTCCCCTTTGCTAGATATATCTATCAGAGATTTATTTATTAGGAATTTTAACCCGTGTTCGATATCCAAGTTATTGTCAGCGAGCATGGCTTTCACAAGATCACCGTCTTCATAGTTAAAGAAGACTGCAATGTGGAGAAATAGTGTTTGCTCATTCTCATGTAAACTCTCATAACCGACTCTTAGTACTTCCTCGATCTCTCCATCCATAATAGTTTCTAGCCTCCTTACTATATATTTCCATTCGTCCTCATTCTTCCCATGTAAAGATGAACCCACCACACGTAGACCCAATGGAAGATTCCCACAAAGTTGTGCTACCCATTTTGCCATCATTAAAAAACTATGACGTGGAGAGCTTTGTTTAAAGGCATATCTACATAAGATCTTGAGAGCTTCTTCATCTGATGGAAACCCGACATTGTACACGTTGTCGATACCATGTCGCTGCAAAATCTCTTTATTTTCAGTTGTCACAATAATCCTACTTCCAGGGCCGAACGATGAATTTTCATTAACCAAAGCCTCTAATTGCTTTACATCATTCACATCATCAAGAATGATAAGCACTTTCATGTCACATAGTCTTTCTTGTATTACACCTAAATGGGAGATCCTCAGACCATTTTGGTTCAAAATCTTTGAAAGCATCTCTTCTTGTAAACGCAACTTAAAACCATACTCGTCAAAACCAATGGGATAGCTTCCCCTAAAGTTGTCCATAAAACAAGTAAGCTGAAACCTATCGGAGAGTTGATTTTGCAAAGCTCTAACAATGGTAGTCTTACCAATGCCTGCAGGACCAGATATTGCAACCATCATAACTCCATCATTATCTAAATCTAGCAAAGACTGCATCTTCCTCAAATGAGCCTCGAGTCCAACCATGTCATCAAAATCTCTTGATGGTGTAGCATTCACTTTATCTGAAACATCTCGTGCAATCTTCTCGATCATTTTGGCTTCATTGTCCCTAAAAAAAGATATAAAAGATCTTTTATAGAGATAGAAATTCTTCTTTTGCCACTAATTTATGATATTTTCCAATATTCATTAAGCAAACATTTTTCTTTAATCATTGAATATCTATTCTATTAAATGTAATTAATCTTATCCATCATAAAACACCATTAATTAGCATGTATTTTTGTTTTTTGTTCTCTTAGGTTACTACTTAGTGTTAGATTAGATATGTCTAAGCTAATCTAACACTTAGAACTTAGAACATAAGAAAAATAAATAAACCAAAGTTACATAAGCACAAACCAGTTTAGGAAATGTTCTCCGGCTATGTTTCCCACATCGTTCAAAGCTTGGCTCCATTTTCGTCTCTCCTCCTCTGTTTTACGAGCACAAGTCTCATTGAAAGCGCGCCCAAATTCTCCTGTCTGTTTCCGCACATCTGATGGATCTACTTCATAGAAGACGGTCATCACTATTTGCCCTATATCTTCCTTGCACTTCAAAATCTGTACCAATTCATCCAAACACCAGCTCGATGAAGCATAGTTCTTGGAGAGCACCACGATTGCGACCCTCGATTCATTAATTGCTCGTGTGAGTGCATGGGCGATGGTTTCGCTTCTCTCGATCCCTTGATCATCGAACATCGTAATCCCGGTGTAGTTAAATTGTTTGCGTAAATGAGAGAGAAATGTTTTACGGACGTCTGGTCCATGGAAGCTAGCAAAGACGCGGTATGTCCAGATACGAAGAGGCAAAGAAGAAGAAGCCATGAGATTCGATACTAGATCGAGTAGCGAGCAAAGTTCAAGACCACAGATACAAAAATGTCTCTGGATGATCCATCGTTGTCTAAATGAATCGCATGATGGAGAAAGTGGAAAAGGTCTTCTATTCACCATTGACTTTTGAAAAAGAGAAAAATGCAGTTTATTATTCACCATTTGGAAATAGAAAACGCTACAGTGGTAAAAATGAAAAAATTACTGGAGATTATTCTTCTTTATTTTTTATTCCATTTTGCTTTAAAAGAATAGAAAAAAAAGTTAGATTGGAAGAAATCGTAATTACATGATTTAAAAATGAGTCTAAGATCATCTCCAATGGTGTTTCTAATGGGACTCTTAACCTAAAGATCTTAGAAAAAAAAACCAAAAATTAAATCAAAACTCAAAATAATAAGAAACTTTTCTTAATTAAAAAGTTTAAGGTCACTATAAATATGTGACTGTCTAGTAAACCTTGTTAGAGTGCGTTGCTATAATAAAATTTAAAAATTTAATGTTTTTCTTGATTAATTTCGCAAAACTCAATTTACGAATCAGTTTCGTAGTCTCGTAGGGTAGTGTAAGGTAACATGTATTGTGTATAAATGATTTATATATAGCGTGCTCAAAATATCTTGTTTTCACAAGTTCATTTTCCAGGTATATGTAATATATCAAAAGATAAATAAAAGTAACAAATACTAGTATTTATTATTTAAATCTATTTTATAGAATGATAATCAATTAGGTTCCCTCTTTTGAGCTTTAAGTTTCCGGAGATATTAGAGTTTCCGCCGGCTTATGTATTTCAACAATATATCCTTCTTTGCGATATTTTTAATTAAAACAGATGACAAGAAAGAAAGAATGAGAATCAGTTAATACAAAAAATCTACAATGTGTCATCTCATCATCTTAGCACCACCATTTATGCCACATCAGCCCCTAAAGAAAAGTACATTGACTCTCCCTATCGGCGTCTCCATTTTTTTGGGAAACATTTTCATTTTAAAGGTATGCAATATTTATGTATCAAAAGACATAAAATCAACCAACATATTATTCAAAACCATTTTATAGAATGAGAATGAGACCAAAGACTCATATACTCTTAGCTAGAATCCGTTTACATAATAAAAATCAAATTTCTTTAGCTTTGATCAATCCTTTGGACTCGAAGTACTCTATCATCTGATCATACATCTCATTGATCCCATATTCGAATCGAAAGCCTTCATTGATAAGTTTTTCCGAAGATAGTATCAATTTGGGAATCAACAAGCCCTCTTCGAATCTGCCAAATTTCACAAAACAAAAATTGATTAGACTTAAAAAATTGAAATTTTCCATTAAAGTTTTCTAAATTTCTGTAGAAAATAAATGCTTACTCTGACAACACATTGTACTTAGGATATCTCTGTATGAGAAGATCCGCAATCTCTGGAACACTTGTGTTGTAAGCACAGCATATGTAACGACCAGAAGCTGTTTCTTTCTCCGCAAGAAACAAATGGGCACGAGCTAAATCGTCTACGTGAACGAACGAGATCGATCCAGATAGCTTCTGCATTTCCTTAAGACCGGTCACATGCATTTCTTTCCCTGACAACAACACCAAATCATCTTGATTATTTATCGTGCAACAGAATGGGATAAAATGGTAAATTCGTGTTTACCGGTGATTAAAGACATTGAGAGAGATAAACTGCTCGGAGGATCGGAGAGGAGAGAGTTTCCGGCAATAAGTGCCGGAATCACGGTAACGAGATCAATCTTATTCTCTTCCGCAAATTCCCAAGCTGTCTTTTCTGCTAACATCTTCGAGATTGGGTAACCCTAGAAAAGAACAGAGAGGTAAGTTAATAAGCTGGTTTATGTAAGAAAAAGCCCTAGCTTGTGTGACAAGAAACGTAATTACCCAGTTAAAAGGCTTCTCCTCTCTGAGAAATTCAATGTCAGTCCAGTTTTCCTCATTCATCACGAGTCCAGTTCCAGAATCATTGTTGATGGAAACAGCAGCAGCTGAAGATGTGTAGATCACACGTTTGACTGATTTCGATTTTAAGCAAGATTTCAACACATTGATTACTCCTTGTATTGCCGGCTTGATCATGTCTTCCTGTATATTGAAAAAAAAAACAAGAATAGCTTGAAAATGTTATTCTTAGAGTGAAAAAAGCCTGCACATTCTGTTTAAGATAGACCTCGGGATCTTCGGATTTAAAGTTGATGGGCGTTGCTACATGGAAGATGTATTCACAGCCCAAAAATGAGGAATCGAAACTCTCTTCATCAGTCAAATCTGCCTTGAAGATCTTGAGGTCGCCAAGTTCTTGAAGTTGCCTAAGGTGAGCTATTTTCTTCTCGTTTTCTGCAGTTTCAGAATAAAAACAAATCCATTAAACATTCAAAATGCATCAGAAGAAGTGTGATAGAAGAAGAAGAAAGTGAAGAACCTGGATCTCTAACTGTAGTGTTAACTTTGTAGCCACTTTGAAGCAAATGCTTGATGAGAATAGAGGCCAAGTTTCCCGTGCCACCGATAACACAAGCCTTCTTCGATCCGGTGTGTGTAAGAGTCTGATCCATGATTAGTAATCTGATCTTACTTTTTAAATTACAGAGATTGAGATTTGGTTGTTATGAGTTTAAAGGTCTTGAGACTTCTATATAAGAAGTAAAAAAAAATGCAAATAGTCTTTGCTCATTTGGTACAACCATAGATCAATAAGGCTTTTTAGAAGGTAAGAACGTGATCTTTGACATAACCAACTTGTCTTTACCTAAGAATCAAAAAAAGGATTGACTTGCTGATTTGTTAGCATCTACCAAATTATCAGAAGCTTTTGATGATTTTTATTACTAAACAATATAACACAGCTTTTAAAGTAACGAATGGTTTATAGAAAGGTTCTGTTACTTCAATTTTTCTTTGCCGATTTTAAAATGAGTTACAAAAGAATTTAGTTTCTATCACCAATTTGATCTGTGTATTGAGGATTTTTACACAACTTGCTATACTCTGTTTCACGAGTTACACTGGTAACAATTCTACATAACTTGATCTGTTCTTGTTCATGTTTCAGATAATGGCCACAAGCTTTGGAAAAATACACTTAGGTATTTTATAATATAAAGGCTACAAATCCAAAATAGAGAGTTTAACAAATATAAAACCACCAGAAAAACCAGAAAGTTACATAGAAAGATAACAGAAGGTAATTCCTAAATTCGAAAACAAAAGAAGGCATTATGCATTGCATTCCGATATAAAAACCGATAAATCTACGAATCTAATGGCTTTTCTTCGAAGCTTCAACAATCATCGACGTCACCTCCTGCAAAAACTTCGTCTTCTCCAATACAAATTCAAGCTCCTTAGCTTGCAACAACTTGAACTTCTCTTCAAACATTTTCTTGGTCTCAACGGGAAGCAAACTCCATTGTTGCTTCACATAATACTCATCAACACCCAAACCAGCAATCATTCGAACAAGAGACGAATTATCAAACCAATCACCTCCATGAACCAACACTTCCTTATCATCACCAACACCATCTTCAACTTTTTTACCATTAGTAGTTGAAGAATCACCACCAACAAAAACCAACTCTTGCTTAACAGAATCAATCTTCTTCTTCTTCGCACTCTTTTTTGATACACCATTCGACTTAACATTGGAATCACGAGCAATCCCTTTAGGTCCCCAAATAAACTTTGACAATTCAAAAGCTTTCTTATCATGAGCTTTCACAAAACTAGGTTCTTTTCCTTCTTTACCAATATACTTCTTCCTTAAACTCCTAATCTTATCCATGAACTGATTCTTACTAACCTCAAAGCTAATCGATTTCTTGAGAAATTCGTAAAACACATTAGTATCTTCATAAGGAGACTTCCCTGTATCAGCTTTGAAATCAATCATTCCTTGTAACACTGAGATTTCGTCTTCTTCACTCCATAGTCTTTGAAACGCTCCTGGTTTCTTTATACTCTCTTCGTCTTTCTTCACACGTTTCGTTGAAGTCGTCGTCGTAGCTTCACTCGCTGGACGTTTTGTTCCTGATTTCACCGCAGGTAAAGCTAAAGCAGCGGACGATGTTGGATCTTCTTTCTTCTTTAGATTCACGGCGGAGACGGCGATTGTTTTGCCAGATCCAGAATTCGGTGGATTTGTTGATTCAGAGTCTGAATCTGTTTCAGTCTCGGATCCAGAATCTGAATCAGCGGCGGCGGTAGAGACGGTGGTGGATTTTGCTGGAGGAGCAGCGGCGGTGACGGTGGCGGAAGGGGTTTTGATTGGTACTTCTTCTTCAGATGAAGATGAATCGTCTGAAGCTTCACCAGCTTCTGAAGTCTCGACGTCATCGTCGTCGCTTGAAGAAGCGGTTGGTGGATCTTCTAAAGGATTGAGTTTCTTCGTCATCGGAGGAAATCGGAATCTTCGAGAGAGAGAAGCTTTTAGGGTTTGTGTTGTGAGGAGACGACGGCAAGTGGAGAGAATATAAAGGTGTTAACTTTAGTTAAAGATGTTGCTTTCTTCCAATAGATATTTTAGGGTTTTTAAATGATTTTTCAGTAATTTAATTATTTTTGGTCAAAGTAATAGGTATTTTTAATAGATTTACCCCGGTTTAATGTATTTATTGTTTGCATAAATGTGACTATTTTTTATTGGAAGTATTGTAATTTGTGAATAATTCTAGGAACCCAAAGGAAAGGAATAATTCTAAGAAGAAACAAATCGAATCAAAAATGTGTAGAATTTATATTTACAAGTATTAAAACACTTGTAACTTGTAATAGTGAGAAAAAGACTTGTGATACGGTTCGGGTTTTTTCGATTCGGTTTGATCGGTTATTCGATTACCGATTTTTTTTGTCCTGCCCTACTTAGGACATCTAACAAACAAAAACAATTAACAAGTCAACAAGTAAAGAAAGATGATGAAAGAAGAGAAAGATCATCGATTAAAGAATACAAGAAAAGACTATGGGCTTCAGCTTATACATGCATAACTTCTGATCTTCTTTCAAATGAGGCGTTGTCCAGTGTTTGTGTAGAACCCACATGAATTACCAATAGGCCTAGAGCCCATTTTTAACCCAAACACAATCAACTCACATAATAGAAAACATAACGTGTCGTTGAAGATATATGGTTCATTGCATGATCCTTGTCCCACGAAATGTGCCATACTCTGGTGCTGTCTCAAGTCAAGTACATTCGAGAGGCATGATGGAAAATTGTTCAACGATGTTGTAAAACAAAAAACAAAAAAAAAAAACATACAGTGTGTTTAATTTAATCGAACCTGAATCAATTTCTAGTTAAAACGATTTCTTTCTTTCTCTTATATCTAAAAAATAGTAACTTAAAAAAAAAAAAAAAAAAAAAAAAAAAATAGTAACTTTTCTTGTATTAAAAAATAGTAACAAAAAATCAAATTGAGTCATAAAATAGAAAACTAACTAAATTTACAGACTATTAACTTTTTTCGATATTTTCTCTAACTTTTTGACAAAAATTAAAACCAAACTAATTGCCTAATTGGTGCTTACTAGAATTCTTCTATATGGTTTAGATGTAGGTTTTGGGAAGCGATTAGTTCCACCAAAAAAAGAATCAAATTTGTTAAAACTAAATTGTAAGCTGGAGATGATTTAGCTTACGATCTTTGTATAAGTTTGACTTAAGATTTACATAAAACCGAAACGATGTTCATTGGGTTAGGTTATTTATCAAATTGGCATGGTGAAACACTATATAAAGGAATGAAAGAAGAAGAAGAGAGAGAGATGATAAGTCTACCACATTACCACCATTCGTATACCTTTCTCTTCCTTCTTTTTTTTTTTGTTGCTTTTGATTTTGGTTCCTCTTGTGGCATATGCAATTTGGTTGGCATTATAGCCACAACCTCAATAGAATCTTAAGATCATGTGAAAACGTAGACAAAATGGACACTTAAAGGCTACCTTAGAGGTTAACTAAGGCACCGAAGTCATTCTTGGAACGAAGTTGGCTCTAGCGGTGTGCCTTAGAGCCAACTCTGTTCCAAGTATCGATTCGGTGTCTTAGTGATCATGAGACTCTGGCTTAACCAACTACTCGAAATTCGAGCAACATGGTTGTTGGTTTGATATCAGTTCAAGCTCAAAAAGTTAGACATGGTTCCAAGTGTCTTATTCACTTAATGTTTTTGTTGTTGATCATTCTTGTAATCTCTTCTTGGGTTTTGAGAGAGTTAGAGTCTGATTGTTACTGTAACCATTAAAGGTGAGAGTGAATTGATTTGAGAGAATCAAACCAAGACGTAGCGCTTCACACCCTGCGAGCTCGAACTCTTATCATCGACTTTTTACTCTGTTTTTGCTCTGTTTCTGTTTATGATTCTGAGTGTTTTCATCATTTGATGAGTATAATTGAGTGAATGTGAGTCTGTGAGTCACTAACAACAAGTAAGGATTTGAGGTTTGTTGATCGATTTTTCCTATGTAAAGTGACAGTAGCAATCTCAAAAATGGTCTTTAAGTTTAATGATGATATGGTATTATCATGATACACATATACAAATCTATTATGAACTATTAACCAAATCGATGAAGGAGCAACCAAAACAATATTTTGATGATATGGTACACATCTATTATGAATTATTTACCAAAGAAACCAAAAACTTTATATCTTTGGTCTCAACAAGGTAGTTTGAAACCCATATACCTACTAGAGACAAAATCATTCCAAACTAGTCATCAACACAATGTTCAATGCCATGACAATACCAACCGAGAACATGATAATCGAAGCCCTTCCATACTCGGTTATAAGCTTTTGAACACCTTTAGTCCCATGAGGGAAGCCACAAAACATATAACAGCAAATACACTTGCGGTTCCAGTATGTTCCATGCCTGGTAACAAGTACTGAATCGCAGACATTGTTGATGAAAACAGAACCATGAAAGAACAATTCAGCTGCATTTAGCTACAACAAAACCAAAAAACATAGTCTTTTAACTTGAGATATAGCAAAAAACAGAGTATTTTCTGATCGAGCCAAGAACTTGACTACGGATGTAGCTTGCAAGGACAGATAGTAATGCAACAGTCTTGAGGCAAAGGTATTGCATGACCTTGTTAACGACAAGACCGAATCATTGGCTAAAGCTCCAATATACCTACTGGTTATGGTTATGGATTTTACTTTCATTGGCTAAAGATCCGAGCGTGAGGAACGCCATGAGTCCATGAGGATGATGTTGATCACTTCAATTAATTCATTTTTCAACAAGTTTATTTTTTGTTATTGGTCAATAATTTTAGCAACAAAGCTACTTGTAAGTGGAATTAATTTCTTACGTGGCCAAAACATAACATGTGTCGTTGAAGAAAAAAATTGTTCATGCATGATCCTTGTCCCACAAATTGCCACACTCTAGTGCTCCCTAGTACATCCTTCGATACATTATATGATAGAAAATATTGGGTCTTTCGTTCGACGATATTGTAAAATAAAATCAGAAAAGAAAAAAAGAAACATTATAAAAAGGAATGAAAGAGGAAGAAGATGTGAAGTCTATTGCACTACCACCACTCTTACACCTTTCTTGTTCAGGTTGAATTTGAGAAGTTGAGGTAGGTTTACCAACTCTTGAATTTCTCACACTCTCGATCAAGTTTCTCTTTTCGAGTTTGGTTTCTCAAACCCACCTCAAATTCTCCAATTCCACCAGAACCTTAAAAATCTCTAACACCAATCTCGTCCACCGAGAACTCCTCCGGATTGTAGTTGTGGGAGATACTTGGAGTATCACCATTATCCAACAACAATAATCAGGATGAATTCTTGTGGTAGCTAGAAACGTAGATTTTTGATTTCCCAAAAGTAAAACTTGGTTGTGATCAATGAACGGCCTCAATATAGTTTTGAGATCATGTCGTCAAACAAAGATCTTTCCTAAACTGAAACTTGAGGGCTGCCTCGGAGTCAGAGGTTTATGTGGAGCAGAGATTCACTTAACCATTACGTAGTGCAAGAACCGCATTGGTAAGAGGGTGCATCCCAAAATTATATCCAGTCTTTGGTTGTTGGAGGCCACACCAAGCGCCGCAATGTTCCAATATATCAAAGGGATTCTAAATCATAATGAGATATACTAGAACGTTGGAGCGGTTGATGTGACCTCCAACAACACAAGAATGGATATCATTATGGCCCGGATGCACCCTCTGACCACTGCGATTTTTACCCTACGTTATGGTCTACAATACGAACATGTCACCGATGCAACCTTCGTTTGGTGGTTAGGTGGTTGAAACAAAAGGTTTAGTTTAACCGAATCAAAACCAGTCCAAATCAAAAATAGAACCTATCCGGTCAACTATACAAGACCGGAGTATTTCTGTTCTTCTTCTTCTCTTTAGTAGTGTCTCCGGCGTAAGCATATGAGCTATAAGAGTAGTGATAAGTTATAACTCTCTTTTAATCTTGAGCTTTAATTCGTTTCAGAACCAAGAAACCACTTTAGCATTTTTTTTTTTCTTTAGAGTTGTGATCAACAATGAAATTTGATTTCTTGATTTGTTTCTAAGTAACTTAGAGCAATTCTTTTTGTTCAAATCTCCTCATGAAGAAAGTTAAATTGCCGGATACAAAAGCGGCGATTGTGGACATCATTAAGACGATATATCTACACAAACAAAGATGCATAGAATTTGATATTAAAAACTGAGTTTATGTCCACAACATAACTTTTATTTGACCATATATTCGAATGCACGAGATGTGCATTCTGAATAGTGATTTAAAAATCATACAAAATAAAGAAATAGAAAGCTTATTAACTCTAAATGACCAAATGGATGAAAAAGCAACAACAAGATGATATGATATACACATCTATTATGAAACTTTTAACCCAAGAAACCAAAACTTTCGTTTTTTGGTCTCAACAAGGTAATTTGAAACCCATGTAACGACCAGCGACATAATCATTCCAAACATCAAGAGCCCCATAGCTTGTCATCAACACAATGCTCAATGCCATGACGATACCAACCGAGAACACGATGATCGAAGCCCTTCCGTACTCAGTTATTACCGTTTGAACCACCTTTAGTCCCACGAGTGATGCCACAAAACATATAACCGCGAATATACTTGCGGTTCCAGTATGTTCCATGCCTAGTAACAAGTACTGAATCGCAGACATTGTTGATGAAAACAGAACCATGAAAGAACATGTCGCTGCGGTTACCTATAACAGAACAAAAACAGAGTCTTTTAACTTGAGATCTATCAAAAACCAGAGTATTTTCTGATCGAGCCAAGAACTTAATTACCTCGGGAGCGATACCAACTTGGAGGAGAAGAGGACTAATGAGCATTCCACCTCCAATACCAAAAACACCACCCAAAACTCCAGCTAAAAGAGCCATTACAGGAAACATACACTTGTTTGATCTTGCTCCATCATTTGATCTCAAATCTTCTACATCCTACATGCACAAAAATCGTTTTCGGACATTCATCAAATCTTTATCGTTTCGAAAAGTAATCAAGTGTTTGTTGGAGTTGTGTGAAAACGAACCTTTACTGAGATATGGTAATCTGATGGTTGTTGGCTTTGAACATTGTCACTGAAGCAGATCCATAGAGTGAAGAAGAGAGTTAGTGGTATTTGAGACGATGAAATTAGCCAGTAGGCGTTTCCACATGGCTCGATAGATATGATTCCCTGAAAATACAAATCATAAACTTCTTAAAAAATGAAGGTTCAAAAGGGAACTTGTTTCAGTATTTTAACCAGGAATTCTCCTTTCATACAAATATTTATTTATCTAGTGACGTTTTAATGTCACTGTAGAGAAATACTGTGCAAAATATTGAAATTTCTTTCTAGAAATTAAAATAAAAAAAGTAGCCCCAAGCATCTTTGAAAGGGTAAGGAATATAAAAAAGTGCAAATCTTAAAGAAGATCCTAGGAAGAAAAAGACACGTAAGTAGTGTTGTTTCCCTTCGGACCAATCTCAAAACTAACAAACATTATTGATGATCTGTCTTTCACGTGAACAAGTTCGCTATCGCCTTTATCAAAAAAAGTTCCCTATCGTTTTTCAAACGCATCTTCACCACGTGATCCCAAGAAATAAAAACCATATTATAGACTAAAGAAAAAAAAAATGTCATGAAGGTAGATGAGAAAAATTCAAACGTGTTTCATTTACTTCTCAAACATTGAACATCAATCTTAACGTTCACCTAATTACTCCATAAACGTGATTTTGACATACATACCAAGTTAAAGCAAAAAAATTTAAAGATATATAAAAACCAACTTAAAAATAAAGAAGTACGTATCTTACAGAATCATCATTTTTGACATATTTTTATTTTCGGTCATAGTTATTTCCTTTTATGGTAAGAAAATTACCTTTTAACAAATAGTTGTAGAAAGTTTGGTTAGAGGTATTATTTAGTGAAATGAAATCTACAAGTGAGCCAAATTAAATAAAAATAGTAACGCAATGAAAAAAAAATTAACTATTCCAACAAATCACTCAGAAGTGTATATCATATGTATTCTTTCTGATAATCATGATAAATTGGTAACCAAATAATATATTTCTTCTGGATAACTATGCAAAGTTGCAAGCCTTTTTGGCTTTTTGTTTCTTGTTTTTTTTTCAATATTCCAATAAATTTTCTATGTCTGGTTTCTAGTCAAAATTGTCAATTCCAAATTTCAAACTTTTTAGCAGATCTAAAACTCATTAAATACGCTTCATTAAATGCAGGCAACACTAATTCTAACTAATACTAATAATCAAATTAAATTAAACTTTTTAATTACCTCGCCATATTTGTTTCCACGAAGAAGATAAACTGCGAAGTAAGAAAGCCAAATAATCACCAAAACTCCAAGCTTAATCCATGGAAACCTCTTTGGTCTCTCATAATCCTCCAAGAGAGGCAACTTCAGACTCTCAATCTTATCTTCTTCATCATCTTCTCCAACTCTATTCGATTCTCTAATCTTCACCATCTCCGATTCCAATCTCCAATAATAAAGTCCATTTCCAAAAGTCTTCATCGTCGACCACGCAAGAAACACAGCGAAGAGAGACGTAATCAACCAGTTCGGAAAAACAAGATTACAAATCACACCAATACTAACTCCAAGAAGCATACATGGTTCCAATAAAAGAGCTAAATCAAAGTCGATTAGGGTTTTGCCACCAGATTTAGGGTTTCTAACGAATAGATTGCATCCCACGTTAGCTATAGATCCACCAGTAACCATAAAAGCTGAGAAGCTTGAAGCTGTTTTTAGATCGAGACCGGCCACAATTGTCATTATCGGTACGTATAAACCTCCACCGCCGATTCCACCGGCGCTTGAGATTGATGAAGCTAGGAAAGATAGTAAGCCGGCGATGATCGTTGATGTTGTTAATTCGATTTTTGGTTGGTTGAATTTTGTTGAAAAATTGAGGTATGAGCTTGTCTTGTTGAGGAAATGATCAACCGGAGAAAGAAGTGAAGGTTCTTGTTCTGCGATTGATGGAGTCAAGAAGATGATGAAAGTGATGAAGGAGAAAACTATAGGGACGAAATTGTTTCTCATTTTTATGTTTTGGGGTTTTTGGTTAATTTTTAAAAGTTTTGGGGGATTTTTAGGAGATGTTGGGGTTTTTGTGTATGTTATTTCTGTTTATAACACTTTATATATAGGAGAGGGAGAGAGAGAGTGTGATGCTTGTACATTGTCAAGTAGAAAGGCAAAATAAATATTAAATAGAAATAGAAATAGAAAGAAAAAGATAAAAAGAGACAAATCAACACTTGGCAAGTGGTGAGAAATTGATATATACCACATAGATCTTATGGGCATTGTTATTTGCTCCCACCATTACATTTTTCTTTCTCATTACTTGTTAAATATTATACATGTAAACCAGAAAAACTTAGGAAGGAGACTTTTATTTAAATAAGATCCACTGATCTTAAAAGTGAGACTTTTGTATATTTTCAAAATATGTCACAGATTTTATTTTTTAAGTTATCACAAGTATTATAATTAATATCTACAATACTTTTGAAAACTGTTAGTCTAAAAAAAACTATTATTCTGATAACAATAGAATTCAAAAAAAAATTCAACATATTAAGAGACTATATCAATTTCTAAATTACATTTCAATTCAATATAAAACTAAATTTATTTAGAAGAATAAATCTTTGAGTGAAATTCAAGTGAACATATATTTATTTTTATTTTGGTTCTCTGCTTTTTCAACCCGAACAGAGTTTTAGAACATCAATATTAGTAAATGACTTTACTGGAGAAATAGTATTAGTCCACTTCATCCACTTAAAAGAACAAAATGATAAGTGAATGATTTCAATTTCTCTGATTGATTTTGTAGACAGTCCCTAGAAACTTCCAGACATCATGAACTGCTCAATACTAGAATTCATGCTAATTACTAATAGTTTGGTTTTGACTATTTTTTGGTAAAGAGTAAGGCTTTAACTATATATAAAGTTAGCTGTTTGGAAAAAAAAAAAAAAAAACATTTTAACAACAACAAAAAATAGAAAGATTCAAGTTAACCATGAATTGCTGCATTCTAGATCCACAGATAAAACAGTTTTATAAGAGATAATATAAGCTTTTGATATATTAATTGCAATATGCTTTAATTAATTTTGGTCTATGGAAACCTATAATGATACCCACAAGCCAAGTGTAGAAATTTATATATTTTGGAAACTCCGACTTCCGACCACATGCAGACAGTTTATCTTTCTTATGTCAACCCACATGCAAAAAAATTATACCATAAAACCCCACATGCAAGTATTTTTGTTTTTATTTTTGGTAGTGATCAGTAAATATATTTATATGTTTAATCAGATGATGAAACGAATGAGACATTATCGTGTTTTTTTTTCCAATATTTGTCGAACTCAAGTAAGCTGGTAATTGTCAAAATCAATGTAATAGTTTATATGAAACTTTTATTTATTTAATGGCATACTTATCGTTAGAGTCATGAGTTGGCTAAAAAATAAACACTTATCTGTAGTGTTTCGTTTTATGTAGATCAACTTGCTCTTTGCATATACGACCAAATTGATAATTGTATATTGTATGTATATAATGTTTGTCGACATTATTAACCAGATATTAAAGGACCTTCACTTATACGCCGACTAAAAGTTGATCTAGCTAGTAACCGATTACTTATTTTGGCGAATATCATCAGATGTTTATACAGCTACGTTTTCATGGATACTTTGGTATTTATGAAAAGTTAGAAATGATAAAATTTATAATAATGTGGATCAAAGTCCGCCGGAGATTTTACGGTTAGCAGAGAATGAAAAACAAACTTAACAGTTAGCTCAGGTGAAAATACTGGATAACGTTGTAGACTTGGTGGGGAATATCAACTCACATTCCAGAATTGACCAACCACGGCAGTATGGAAATGGGTTTCGGTGTTATGTAGATGGGTCTTGGAAAGAGAGTGATCGATTTTCCGGATTAGGTTGGTTTTGTTCTACCCCGAATGATGGAACGCAAGACATGGGAGCTGCTAATCTTCGAAAAAGCTTAACCTCACTCAACAAATTTTGTTTAATTGATCTAGATAACCAAGATTTTGTAATGGTTGATTAACAGTAACGTTAGATTCAACTCAATTTTCAGTATATATATGTAAGAGAAATTGGCACCTATAACATACAAAAAAACTTTAATTAAGTAAATGACCAAAACAAAAAAGCCCATTGATATTGCCTGTATTTTCTATATATCTGACTTTTTTAGCCTCCTGTGAAGTTCACGCACCTTGACGTGAGTCTTCTTTCTTTTGCGTAATTTCTCATCTTTTCTTGGTACCTGTAAAAACTTATCTTCACCATAGTTACTGTTTTCTGCAAAGAGAGAGCAAAATTTTAAAATCCTTTTGCAGTTTTTCATCTTTGCCTCCGATCTCTTTTCCTAATTTTAGTTATTCGGTGACTGGCCTTCAATTGATTTTGGGGGAGAAAGACTTTGAACTTAGGATTTAGTTTTAATTACCCGGCAAGTTCGAAACCCAATTGCCCTACCCTTAGTTCTCCGAATACGATTGACTACGGTACATCGCCGGCGGTGTGTTTAGCAAATTCGGCGAACTGGTTTTATTGATTTGGGGGTGATTAATTTCTCTCAAATTGACTTTAGTTTGTCTACTTTATCTTCTTTATCAAGAATCGAATCCCTTGTTTAAAGCTTGGAATTGTTGTTTGGCGACATATGTTTTTCCTTTTATTTGTGTTGTCGAGGTTCAGAGAACTTGTGTTTTTTAAAAAGAAAGTTGCTTTCAGTTTGGGAATTATTGAGATTTTAAGTGCAAAGTCTTACATAGGAACTGTCTGTTTGGATGTCTTATGCTCATGCCCTTTTTTATGTTCTATCATCTTTGTAGAGAACAAACAATGTACTATTTTTAAATAACCAATCTTTTAAGTCAAGCTAATCTGTACTATCTAAGTTAAGTCTATTCTATTGTTTGTATGCACTCTACTTTTGAAAGCATTCTACAGTAGCTCACACACGTAATCATCTCTCCTCTCACTGCGCGTTCAGAGAAACAAGGGCCAGAAACGTCATTCTAGAGAGACCACATGTTACTTTCTTAATATTACATGTTATAGTGCTATATTCTTCATTAATTTATCATATATGGTTATTGATTTAATTCACCCTATATGTAAAACCATTTTTTTTTTTTTTGGTATAGATCGGAATAGATCTTGGTTTAGTAGCTGAAATACCCGCAAAAATGACTTATCACTTGAACTTTAGCAAATAGTTTTATATATATCACAATATATAATAGAAGTTGTGAAATACAATTTGGAATATAATACTGAATCAAACAAAAAAACCCCAAAAAATATTATCTAAACCAAAAATCTGATCTACATATCAAAGTATATCTTACCTAAATATTAAAAGATTTTTAATATACGTACCTGAAAAGTGGAAACCAACCCTTACCCCACAATGCAATAATTTGAACATATGTATACATTTTGATTAAATATATACCATATTCTACAGTTTAATTTGAACTTAAGTTTATTTGAAAATATAAAAAAAAACATATGTATATTTTGATTAAAAGAACCAAAAATTTTAAACTACAATCATATCACACCATATTCTCCAGTTTAAATTTGATTACCTTAGAATTCAACGGAACTCTTAAAACTTATATATTGCTGAAATCCATAGAAGCATTGAGATATTTTGTAATTGTTTAAGGTATATATTATGCTGATGGATATATAGTATAAGGTTTAAATACGAGGCTGATCAATACTATAAAATTGGAGAATATTAATACAGCTATACAAGCATTTCCATATAGACATTATAATTTAGGGGGTCTGATAACCTGAATCTAGGACAATGAATATTCCAATTATTGTTTGTACAACTACATAAGTTTTCTTAACATAAAAATAATAAATAATAAATAAACTACACAAGTTAAATTTTAACAAAGAATGCATACAAGTTGTATCTGTACATGGAGAATTAGATATTTCGTTAAAGCCTGAAAGAAGACTTAAATTTCTTCTAATTTTCTAATTCTAAACAATCATGATCAGGTAAGTTCTTTACATTATCTAGAACAACCTATTGTACACAATTTTTCCATGCACTTTCTTATATTAATCAAAAGTGCTGTGAACTTTTTGGTTAAAGTCGTAATCGTATATTCGTAATAACATTAATTATTGTAATCTCTCGAACTGTTTTGATATATTTGGCTCTTGGAAAGTCTCCTGAGTCGTGCTTGTACTATGATCCAATAGTAAATAATCACTTAAAAGCAACATAAACGATAAAAATATAAAATATGATTAGTATGAGCCGGCTCTAAAAGTCACCAGTATTCCATTCTAAAGTCACCAGTATTCATATCCTAATAGATAGTACGTTTTCATTACTTGTTGAATTACCAAGATTTAAAAACAAACTTAATTAGTTTATACACCATCAATTTTTCTAAGCATATCTAATCGATACAACTTTTAATAAATGAAATAAGCTGTATGTGTTTATTGATAATTATTATCTATAACATGGTGTATAAGTCATTCTGGCGCCGAATGATAACGCGAATTAAATACATATTTCATAAATTTTGCTTTGTTATTTCTTTAATAGGAGCATGAGCATCTTTGAAGTATATATATATAGGGTTTACACGCAACACGTATATATATTACCAACTTGCATTAGTCTAATGATATTGTTATGTATTAGTTGAGTGAAGAGAGATCAATTTCTATAATACACAAAGTTACAGCAACGGTTATTGGAATTGTCCAGACTTTTAGTTTGTTGAAAAGTTTTAGTGTAACTTTAAGCTCCAAATCATTCGTTTATGGTATAAAAGAACACATGTACAAATTAATATGGCAATGATAAACAGATAGCTATTTGAATGTGTTGGTTTGAACAGTGATCAGTACAACTGAAATCTGTTTAAACAAACATTGAGTTACTTTGGTAAATCTGATTCGGTGTTCACTATTGGTGATCAACCGTGAGATTTTCACCAATGTTAAGCGTCGAAGTTTCTATCGATGTTTCTCTTTCGTTCGCCTTCTTTTTCTTTTTAATGCAACAACAACAAAGAGAACACACGCAAATCACCAAGATCATTACAACTGCAACTATCACCGGAGCTATGATTCTTCGAAATACTTTACCTACATGCATAACCAAACTTTATGTTAAAGACTATCAAAGGAAACATAATCAAATTCGTTCAAATTATCATTTTAAGGTTCATAATATAACAACTCTAGAGTCTAGATAAACAACAAAACAATCAAACCTAGCGTAAACTTCTCCAAGAAGACTCACATGATAAGTTTCTTCCGCAAAATATGAAGAATGCGAATAGGCTTCTTGTATCAGCCGGTCCATACGATATTCCACGGTATTAATGAAATAAGATTGGTACAACATGGTATCGTAAGTCGTCCATGTAACAAATGGCCCTTGATCAAGAATTGATAAAATCTGACGGTTGGAGTACCTGAGGAAGCATTCTTCGTACCATATGATAGCTTCTTTTTGAACAGGACACCATATAAAAACGTTTTTGGATGCTCTTGATATGCATGTTTCACATGTTGAAGATGAAATGTCTCCGCGACATAGATAAGTTCCATAAACTGTTGTGCTTGGGGAAGAACCGGAGGCGTAGCTGTAAGAACCTTTGTTGGATGATCGAGAATCAAGAACGGATATTAAAGAATCTAGATTGTATTTGTACGAACTGTTTGCCGTGTAGTTTCCTGATGTGTAACAATAGCTAAGGAGATACGTTGGTCGTGCATTTAGGGTTTTGAAGAGAAAAAGAGAGAGAAAGTAGATGAATTTTGATTGATGAAAAGGGAGAGAGAACATCTTCTTTTGAGTAACCTAGTTGTGGTCATGCATCAACTAAGATTCAGCTATTATTTGAATTAATTCTTCTTATATATATCCTTTTAGTAGGCGTTATTTGGTTCTCATATTCTCATTCTTTTGAAAACTATACTCTATTTTTTTTTCTCTCTTGGTCAACTTTGGGCCAGGCTGTCCGAATTTGACTTTAATGATTATGAACTTGATAATGTATAAATAGGACGAGGTTCCAAACTTAAATTAAAATAATATAAAATTAGGCACGGCCCGGGGCTAAAGCCCGTGAAACAAGGGCTTCAAGCATCAAGAGGTAATTAACATTTTAGGGCATCAATATCTGAAAACGATTAAGTGGTGTAGCGGTTGAGTCTATTATTATACTCTCTTCAAGTGACAAGTTTGATTCCTATCATTGCCATTACTTGAATTTAATTTTTTCTTAGTTGATCAAATTTTTTTCTGCTTTAGGCACTAAAATTGTTTGGGCCGATCCTGATTATATGCATGCCTATTTTATATTAAATTTTATAATAAGATATTTTCCCCCATTTTTATATTTATCTTCTTTTCGAATTTACGTAATTATTGACAAAAAAAAACTGAGTTTTTTTCTATTAAAAGCTCAATACAAGTTTTATTTAGTTATTATCAAATATCAATTGCGTAGCTCTCAATCTCTCAAATTAAACATAATTATCTTTTTTTGTATGAATGTAAAATTTATTCACCAAAAAAAAACTGTTTTACAATAAATGCAACATAAAAACCAAAAATTTGAAAAGTTTGTAAACTTTAGAAAATAGAGAGATTATTGGGAATGAGTTTGAAACCAGAAACGGAAGCCACCTTCGTTTTCGGATGAACCCATCGTTGCCAAAGTACTTAGTCGGACATTCTTATCAATAATTTTCGTAAGTTGGGGCGCAGGAGTTGGTGTTTCGCCATGACGACGTCCATTTCGCTCTCGCCATATGCTATGAATTGTGATTTGAAAAACATACCTCAGCACGAACGTGTGTAAACGTGACGTAGACACAGTCGTGAGTAAGGGAACAAGGGCCTCCCAGCTTTTCGTAAAACTATGATCAAGGATGCCATAGGCTAGATTTGACCATACTTGGGAGGAGTAAGAGCAAGAGAAAAACAAGTGTTTCCTTCACCGCAAAATACACAGTCTCCATTTGCTCCAGCATTCCACCGTTTTAATCTATCACCCGTCGCGAGACGGTTATGAGTTGCAATCCAAGTGATAAAAGAGTACTTAGGTGTGGAGTTAGGGAACCAAACACCCTTGTACCAGCTATACATTGGGTTTGCTTGCCTAATCAAGTGCCAAGTCTCTTGGGAGGAGAATTTACACTTAAACATAATTGTTCTTAATGATAAGTTGTACGAGTGACAACATAAGTATAATTTTTTCCCAACGTATGAATCGAACGCGTAAATTGTGCAAATCATTAGGTGACAACAAGATTATATAAAACACTGATGTCGGCCGTCAACGAAAACAAAAAGAACCACTAATGTCGTGTCGAATCATATAGATAATGATTAGTAAAAAAAAACATTGTACAGGTCATCAAGGGCCGAATGTTATACAACCAAATTGAATACACATAAAACAATAAAATGTTTGCATAATTTTGTAATCATTAAAAAACAATATGTAATCTCATCATGTTAATATGGATTTATGTAAATTATTATGGAGACACATACACTTTTGTTCAAGTGAAATAAACTGGACATTTCTTGTCTTTAGTCCCACTCAACAACATTCCATCCCAACCGATTTCAATATAACAGTTTGCGTACATCTTATGGCTCTTACTGTGCCATGTGTACACCTTAAAACGTATCACGGACCTTACCTCCAAACGGAACACTATCTTCCCTTGATTTCTGTCTCGTTCCATCTCCATCCAGCGGTCCTTAGTCACGGCCATTGCGGGTCGACGTAAGGCTCCGTCGACCCAGCTCGTGTTCTTTGGGTCTTGGTAAAACGGATTAGTGAGTTTAGTCGACCCGATCCGTTTCTCTTTGTAGTAAACGGATCCTTCCATGGAATCGTAGTAAATGCCGACGTTTTGGTTTGGGTTATGAGCCGTTATCTTGAAGCTTATATGTGATGTCTCGAACCCGTCGGGCCTGGATAGACCCGAGATGGAGAACCCGCGGATATGGACGCGTGGTCGGTGTGGTCGTAGACTGATCCATAAGATGAAAGTGATAATGCCTAAACATAGTAAAAGAGATAAGAAAATGGCACATATGAGTTTAGAGACTCTTGTTGTGAGGCTTTCTTTGACCCGATGAACGATGTTGTTCGCCGAGTGGTGACGGGATATAGGCCGGGTTGATGGGTTCGATCGAACCGGTAACGAATCGACCTTGTTGTGCATGTTTTTTTTTTGGGATAGATTTAGGGTTAGTGGGCCATGGGAAGTAAACTGATGGATTGTGAGGTTTATGTAGCAATTTTAAAAAACAAAACATTGGTGGTAGTTAAGAAGAAAGCAAAAGATACCTTGGAAAATATTATGGGTATTACACTTTGAGAAGAAAAGAATTGACAACTAAGTATCTAAATATTTAACTAAAAAGGTAGAGGAAAACTAAGTAGCTAAAAGTGCATTTAATATGATAGGTCTGATGGTTATTTTCATTCCTTTTTAATAATACTATGTCTATTATAATCATATGGTACTACTATAGTTCTAATAGACATGGCTTAGTACTATGTTACCTAAATTGTTTTGGTCTAAATCTTCCGGCTTTTAACTAATTCATATGAATACTATCAGCTATGTGAATCAATATATATGCTATATTTACATGTAATTTTCTTCTCTAAAATTCGATTAATATAATGAGAAGATTTGAGGTTTCTTGTTGGAGGGACATACTCCTGCAAAGTGTCCATATGTTAAGAGTTATAGACAGCAGCTTGTTTTGAAGAATATGAAGTATGTAGAGTTAACATGTGATGTGAATAAGTGTTTGAGAAGCATTTGATATTATAAAAGAAAAAAAAAAAGAAAAAGGGAAAAAATCAAGAACGTTGTGTAATAAGATATATATGGCCCATCTTATTGGAAATTTTGAGAAAGGCCATAGCCCAAAGTTGGTGGATCCGCTTCTAGCTAGATATATTTATATCAAAATCGAAATAATATCAAACTGAGGAATTTTTTTAAATTTGTTTTTCTTGTCAGTTAGTTTCTTCATCCCAAATAGCCCATATTTCCCAACTAGTTAACTATAGAAATTCACAATCCTAGGAACATTTTGTTAAAAATAATATATTTTAGAGTTTATTAAAAATAATATATTTTAGAGTTTGTTAAATATGCATCTCTTTTAGTAGAGCATCTCCATCCATAAAAACTTCTAAAATTTTCTTAAACAAAAAATATATGATTATTTTAATATAATTTAGTTATGTACTTAAATTTTCGTTTTAAAAAAAGAATGAACTAATATGTGAGAGCCATGTGGCTTATGAAGTTTTCATGAGTATTTTAAAGTTTCTTATTTAAGAATCTTTTTTCATTATATTTTTTTCCTTCTACTAAATTTTTAATTATAAAAAATACATACAAGAATTCTTCAATGGAGATGCTCTTAATATCATAAAGTGACGTAAGAACCAATTATGAATCTTAATCTATCTTCATAGTTTCTACTATCATGGATTTTCATGTCAATTCTCATTGTTGGTTACGCCGAACAGGTTAACATCACGATTGAATTCATCATCAAATACGAAAAGGCGAGATATTGCTAGTGAATGTGATTTTATGTGGTTTGATTAACAGTGTTGTTAGTGCTAAGATTGTTTAAGACTCTTACCAAAATCTTTGTTAAATTGATTCTGTTTCCAAGAATTGTTGACACATAGAAGTCCCAACACATCAAAAATAAAAGTAAAATCAAACACCGACGTAAAAGATAAATAGTAGTATTTTTAGAAAATGTTATGTTGCATCATAATGTCTACTAAAATTGTTGTACACAAATGATATTGCATTATATTGTGTATACAAATGTGATTTTTTATATTGTGTACTAAAGTTGTTATGTTTTATGTATTTGTTGCATACAAATGATATTGCAATATAAACACAATTTTTTAATATCGTGTACCAAATAGACAATAAAATTATAAAATTTACTAATTTTAGCAATATTTCTTGTCAAGAATCAATTAATCATCTATCCATATTTCAATATGCACATGCAAACAAATTATTGTTTTGAAGCAACACATATAACACAAGAATCATGTATAAGTATCGTTTTTGTATCACCTGTTATAATTCGATGGTATAATGATAGATTGGAAAATTTATATGAACACAAAAAATACATAAATGAAATATATATATATATATATATATATATTTATCATTTCATTTAAATAGTAAAACCAAATATATAAATATTGTAAGTATATTTAAATCCTATTATTTCGCACGATATGAATCAATTATTTAAGACGAGAATATACTACTACTAACGTATATCTATAATGGCCCAACAAAATTAAATATTCTAAAAAGTTACATTTATTGTTGACCCTTCACAAAAACAAATCTCACAATTTCTGTTTTGTTTTCTTATAAACAAAACAAAAAAAAGGCCCAAAGAGTATTTTGATTTTCCTCCCAATTCGCCGACGACTAATCACGAGATGGCGCCGCCGGTGACGGAGCGGTGGTGCTTAGCTTTGATTCTTCTCTTTCTCTCCTTATTCGTCCAATCTTCGACGGCAATCTATTGCGGTGCTGAAGATTGTTATGCTCTTCTCGGGTTTGTTCAGCTTCCGATCTCCATTTTCAAATTCAGATTTTGAGATTTCATTCTCTCTTAATCGTTTTGCATTTTCGATTTCAGAGTCGCTCAAGATGCGAACGCATCGGATATCAAGAGATCTTATTATAAGCTCTCTCTTCAACAGTAATGATTCTGGATTTGTTTAGACATTGATTGGATTTGATTTTGATTGTGTATTTTGCTAATCTTTGTTTTGATGAATCGATTTAGTCATCCAGATAAGAATCCGGATCCTGAATCGAGGAAACTGTTTGTGAAAATCGCCACTGCTTATGAGGTACTTCAATCTTTTTATGATTTTGAAATTTTGAATCTTGCTTAGTCAATCTCATTATACATCTGCGTATAGTTTCTTAGGGATGATGATCTAGTTTTAGTTTATAGCTGAGAATAATGGAACGAGAAAGTTCTCAAAAGGGTTCGTTTTGTAATCCTTTTTGCAGATTTTGAAAGATAACACTACTCGGGCACAATATGATTATGCAATTGAACATCCAGAAGAGGTCAGTACAACATTTTTATGAGAAATGGCATTGTCTCATTCTTGTTTTCTAGCAATTTGTGGATTGAACAGATGAAAGATCTTCTGAAATGTGTCTATACCGCTTTGTGTTTCTTTGTATATAGGTATTTTACAACACCGCTCAATATTACCGCGCGAAATATGGACATAAGTCGGTAAGATATTATTTGATGTTTGTGATAACCTTTCTTGTGGGGAAACATTGGCTTTTTTAACTGATACAACTACCTGATGTGTTTTTAGGATCCCCGTGCTGTTCTTGTTGGTCTATTGGTAGTTTTGTCTGCATTTCAGTATCTGAACAACGTGGCAAGGTATAATGAGGTACGTATTAGAGATAGGGATTCTCTCACTATGTTTTAATAGTCTTAAGTCTCTGTTCTGTAGCGTTTTTTCTGATTCATGCTAAACATATCTTGTTATATTTTTAAGCATCAGAACTACTCATCTACATATCACATGTATGTGCAACACGTATCACATGTATCATAACATCTCAAGAAACGTAGAATTTATGGACATATGACCTCTTGAATGTGATTCATATACTTTGTTATGAGAACTCTATGTAGCTTAAAGTCTTAAGTGTATCATTAGAAAATTATACAAGATATGAACTTTCGGCTCATTTTCTTGATGAGATCCTGCATTATTGTTTTCATGCAGGCTATAGCGACGGTTAAGCGAACACCTGCTTACAAAAATAAGCTCAAGGCCTTAGAACTCGAACGCACGGGTGGAGTAACTAACAAAAAGAAGGGTTCAAAGCAGATTGACCAGTATGTTGCCCTAGTTATTGAAGTTGCCTTTTTATTAGCTGAGAATGTGTCATATCGCTGACTAAATCAAAATCATTTTCTGTTTTGGCAGGAAGCTACAGGAAGAGTTAAGCAACGAACTCGACTTACAAATCAAAGGAGCTGAAAAACCATCCGTCTGGGAACTTCTCGGTGTTCGATTCATTCTCCTACCATACACTATCATTAAGGTTTCATTTTTTAAAGCACTTCCACTGCGCCACATTTCACAGATTTCCATATCTCACTTTCCTGAGATCGCTTATTCAACTTTCTGTTACCTTCCAGCTTCTAGCATGGTACAGCAGTTGGGTGTGGAGATATAAGATCAAGAAAGCTCCTTATTCATGGGAAGACGCATCGTACCTAACCCGAAGATCACTTAGTGTGCCTGCCGACGCATGGGCTAATCTAGGTATCCTTCTATTCTCTAATTCCCCAACCTGAACCAAGATTGATTTCTAATACAATGTGATTAAAACGATTGTGCAAATGCGATAATTTTCAGATGAATATAGAAAGGAAGATCTGGTACAGAAAAGGCTGTGGGAGAAGCAGAATCTTGAGAATTACTTTGCAGAAATGCGTAAAGAATCGAAGCGGAGAAGATAGGCTACTTGTCACTTACCATGCCAGGATACACAAGACAATTCAAGTTTCAGAGACACTTTTTTACCATTATCACTCTACTTTAATGTTATAAGAGATCTGATCAACGAACAAGTTACAAGAAGAGACAGTAGTATAATTGTACGGTACCAGGAACCAAATCTCAATTTGGCATATACAAGATGAATCATGTCTGTCAATGGACATGGTCTAGTTTTGACTCAATTTTGTTTAAAACAAATTTGCTCAGTGGATTGTTCAAATATATCTTTGATACTTGAATTTCGAGCTCGAAAACAAAACATTAGAACTTTATGATTAGTCAAGAAACACAGTGAACAAACAAGATTTTGTTTTGTTATATTAAAACTGAAGGAAACCGGTACAAAGGAATACATGAGTGAGAGGATAAGTCGTCCCGGTTGTACAAAGTTGACATCAAAGGGACTGAAACTAAAATGTGAAATGCTTGCGGAATTGTTTATACATTGCTTTGCTTGTACATCTTGGTGTCCAACACTTGCTTTCCGCACATTGCGCACACTCCTGCACAACCACGAAGAGGCAATTCCTTCAGTTGTTGAGTTACTTTATTATAATATCTAACCAGAGGTAAGAATTTCGTGCAGTAAAACAGATGTATTTACTGTTTACCTTTGCTATAGGCACATGTGTGACAGTATTTACCATCTTGATGCACTTGCTGCTTGCAGATCATGCATTTTGTGGTACAGGTACTGTAAGGTGACCATCTACAAAGCAAAGAAACATCACAATACAAAATCAGAAGCAGCAAAGAAAGATAACCACAAGAGCACTAAACCTTAAACGATTTATTCTAACTAGTTCTTCGATAGCGAGTACTACAAGACATGAAAAATAATAGAGTACTAGACTAGAGCTTTACACAAAATTCGATCTTCCTAAACATTTACTGATGATTCTTAGGAGGGGTTATTGGTTCATGGATTTATAAGGAATTAGAAATCCAAATAAAAATCATTTGTTATTCAATCATTGATTTTAAAATCCTAACTAAAATCATGTGTTATTGGTTCCATGATTTATAAATACTAGTTAAAATCATATGTTATTCGTTTAGTTATTTGTTTTTGGATTTGAGAATCCAAATTATGTTTTGAATGGAATTGAAAGAGAAAAATAGAAGGATTCAAATTCATGGGTAAACACATGTTATTTCAAAATCCATATATTTTGATTTCATAATTAATAGAAATTTTCAAATTCTATATGGATTTACAAATTAATAAACCAATAACACCCCCTAAGAAAAGCCTAGAGGAAACAAAACCAATAACTCAACTAAAAAAAAAAGACAATACAAACATCCAAAGTTACAAAATATTGCTAGTTCCATGAGAAGTTGTACATTTACTAATGATTCTTAGAAGAACCTAGAGGACTAGTGCAGTGGTGGAGTGCTACACCCTAGATGGCAAGATTCCAGTAGCCGAATCAACTCAAAAGATAATGCAAACATCCCAAACTTACAAATTTACCGATATTTCCATGAGAAATTCTACAATTACTAATGATTCTTAAAAGAACCTAGAGGGAACAAACCAATACTCAACTCAAACAAGACAATACAAACATCCCAAACTTTCAGGTTTATCGCTATTTCCATGAGAACTTCTACATTTACTAATGATTCTTAGAAGAAACTACAGGAAACAAAACCAACACCTAACAAAAAGATAAAAAGAAAGATACAAACATCCCCAAAGTTACAAATTTATCGCAATTTCCATGTTTTGCATTCAATTGATGAAGACGAGTAAATTGTAGATGGAAAAACTTAAGAAACACATACCTATTCTTCTTAGAGAGAAGCTTGTTCTCATTGATTTTACGACCACCACCTTCAGTTACATTACGAGCACCATCCTTCCACTTATCTGGAACTATCACTTTCGATAACTTCTTCTCACCTAAAATTAGAAGATTATCAAAAACATGAGTCAAAGGTTCATGATTTGAACTAAATTACAGATCCTATAACTAGGGTTTCGATCTAAAAAAACAAATCGAATCAGAAATCATTAGGTTTATTCCTGAAACATGTGACAGATTAAGCTAAAATTCGAATCGAATCACAAATCCCAACGCTAATTAGGGCGATAATATCACAACCCAACACAATGATCGAACAAATTCGAAGGACTTACACTTATCGCAAACCATCTTCTTCTTCGGAGAGATAGATGAAGAAACCCTAGCGCCTAAAATCGATTCGAATGGGTCACGACGAGAACTTACAGGTGTTCAAATTTATTTATGTTTAAATCTTTTTTTCTTTCCTTTTTGTTTTTCTCTTTAAAATGGATTTGGAAAGTCAGTGAACGCGTTTTAATCAAAACGCGCGATTAGAGATGGAATCGAGTTACTATTGGCGGTTCAAGGAGGATGTTTTCGGTAAAATAACTTGTGAAGGAGGTTGTTTTCGGTAAAAATTATTGATGTTGATAAATGATAAAAACTTTTATGGTGTCATTATAAATAATATATGTATCGCACCAAAAAAATATATATATATATATGTAAAAATTTCGATAATCGATAATCAATAAAAAGGGATTCGGTAAAATTTTGTTTGTAATTAGTCTCTTTTAAATCCAAAGCAAGAATAACTTCATTATCCATCATCCGATTCTAACTAAGAACAATTCGTCTACCTCCTCCCAAACAAACATCTACCAACAAAATAACTTGAAACAGAAAGATTATTCTTTCATCTAAAACAAAACACTACATTGCACGAATGCTAATCTAATAAAATTAAACAATGTAAATCCAGTTAACAAATAAAATAAAATAAAATAAAATAAACAAATTAAACAAGGCGAATGTCTCGTAAAATCTCATAGCCTCATAGGTATCAGAGTCTATTCCACGAATCGAAACTATCCACGTGGATACATCAACCAACAAAAACCTTCCACGTAGGACAACCAGCGAGATACCAAAAAAACCCAAGAACTTCGAAGACCTTCTTCTCCAACCAGAGGCTTTTTGGTAAACAGCAAATACCCTTTTCTTTCACTTTTCTCTTCTTCTCGAATCTGAGAGAGAGATCAACATTCAACAATGGCGGTCAAATCAAAACTCGTCTCTCTTCTCTTCCTCGTAGCAACACTATCATCCACATTCGCAGCTTCGTTTTCCAATTCAGATTCCGATTCAGATCTCCTCAACGAACTTGTATCTCTCAGATCAACAAGCGAATCAGGCGTAATCCATCTCGATGACCATGGAATCTCAAAATTCCTAACCTCCGCTTCCACTCCTCGTCCTTACTCGTTACTCGTCTTCTTCGACGCAACTCAGCTCCACAGCAAAAACGAGCTTCGTCTTCAAGAGCTCCGTCGCGAATTCGGCATCGTCTCCGCTTCATTCCTCGCTAACAACAATGGATCTGAAGGAACTAAGCTTTTCTTCTGTGAGATCGAGTTTTCACAGTCTCAATCTTCGTTCCAGCTCTTTGGCGTTAACGCTTTACCTCACATTCGTCTTGTAAGTCCTTCGATATCCAATCTACGTGATGAATCTGGTCAAATGGATCAATCGGATTACTCTAGATTAGCGGAATCAATGGCTGAGTTCGTCGAGCAACGAACTAAACTCAAGGTCGGTCCTATTCAACGTCCACCGCTTCTATCGAAACCGCAGATCGGCGTTATCGTTGCGTTGATCGTTATCGCTACTCCGTTTGTTATCAAACGAGTTTTAAAAGGAGAAACTATTCTTCATGATAGTAGACTTTGGTTATCTGGTGCTATCTTCATTTACTTCTTTAGCGTTGCTGGTACAATGCACAACATTATCAGGAAAATGCCGATGTTTCTTCAAGATCGTAATGATCCGAATAAGCTTGTGTTCTTCTACCAAGGATCTGGAATGCAGCTTGGAGCTGAAGGATTTGCTGTTGGATTCTTGTATACTGTTGTTGGATTGCTATTGGCGTTTGTTACCAATGTGCTTGTTCGAGTGAAGAATCTTACTGCCCAGAGATTGATTATGCTTTTGGCTTTGTTCATATCGTTCTGGGCTGTGAAGAAAGTTGTTTACTTGGATAATTGGAAGACTGGATACGGAATTCATCCGTATTGGCCATCGAGTTGGCGTTGATTTCATCACACTTGAGGATATGTGTTTCACAAGGTAATGGCTTTAGTTTTGGAAACAAACAGTTCTGGGAATTGAGTAATGATGTTTTGGATGTTTTGTGTTTCGATTTGAAATACTTTTGAATCGGTGTAGTACTACTATTTCAGATGGTTTACTTTAAACTCCTTACTGCTACATTAGTCCCTTGTTAAGTTATTTATCTGAATGAGTAACATATATAAGCAAGTATATGGGATCTTTAGTCGATTAAATCGTAGCGTACTGTTCTGTCTGCTCTCTATATAGGAATTATATTAGGAAAATTCAGGTACTGTGTCTTGAGATTAGTCTAGGATTCTTATTGGTACATTACCACTTAGAGTTTCTATGTGCCTTTAGTCTTGCTTACTGCATATATTCAGAAAAAGGACTTTGTGATTGAGGATAGTGTGACTGTTTAAGCATTATGGAACCTTTTGTTTTGTCGTCGACTGTATCCTCTGCTCTTTTGGATTTGTGTTCCTCTATAAATTTATTACCATCTCGTTTTGCTGTCTGTTTGAGAATGAGTCTAAGTAAAACTTGGGTTCGAGTATGAATTTGTGATGGAGATGGAGTTTCGGATTAGGTTTAGCCATTCGACATGCATAGGCTTGCGCAGGTGGGAACCAAGTCTCTTTTTGATAGGGCTTTTCGTTGTTTATTGAGTACACACATTTGTGAGATCATTTCAACTTGAAAATTGCGAAGCATGCCTCTCAAATATATCATTATGACTTTGATTGTTTGTTTACCTTTATTGTGTAGTTATTTTTTTTTTTAATTCAAATGAATCTACAATCTTCAGCATTTTAAACAAATTATAGTTGATGATGGTAAACATAAATCACAAATTTCACACGCAAAATGAAAGTTCTCCTTTAGTTTGTATTTGCAATGTACACAGATTTTCTGAAAATTAAAAATGTTTCAGATTTCACTAAAGTGATATCTGTTTTTGATTTTTTGTTGTTTTCTATGTTAAAATAAACGTAGAAACTGAAGTTAGAATCAGTTGAGGTTTTGTATAAATGATCAAAGTAACCTTTGATTTGTTTATTGTCGAATCAAATGGTTGATGAATATATACTCTTTCTTCTTTGGAATTGGTTGTACAATATCTAATTCGATCCATTTCAAGCCCACACAAAAAAAAAGTGATTTAGCTAAATAAAAATAAATGAGCTCTATCCATATGAGTTTTCTTACAACTTTTTGGGGGTATCTCGATTTGGGCCTTGAGTTTGGTGTGTGTGTCGAAGTCTTGCTAATCCAACCCATGTTTCTTTTGTATTACTTTGGGTCTCTCATTTGAGATGATATCTTTTTATCCTTTCATCTCGATAAAAATCTCGGTTTATCTATTTGGGGTCATAGTGGTCTGACAATTTCAGGTCAGATATTGATCTTGGTTTGAGTAATTGAGTTGGATTGGCGCATGTTCGGGTTTTGACATCATGTTATATTTAATGGAATTACAATTCGAAAATTAATTGATCACTAGTAAATTGGTCTATATTTCATATATATTATTTTAGGTTTCATATCAATATATCATTTCGGATAGACATGTTTAACTAAAAAATTTTTATAGTTGGGAGTTTAAAAAATAAGCTAATTCTTAATTTGTAATAGAAATTTAAATTGATAATTCTTGACTAACACAACACAAAAATCACTAGTCTACCATAATTAAGGTTTGCAAAAATTTCAAAAATACTATTTAAGTAGTAAAATTTAGGCTAATAAATATTTAAAAATTAAAATCATTTTTCTACAGGTATAATGGATTTAACCCAAAGGCACGAGGTGTCTTGAAAGTGACTAAGCACAAATTTTCTACCTATATAAAAAAAAACACAGCCTGTCTCACACAGTCACATTGTATGTTATTACAATTTAAGACAATGACGATTGCATATACATAAAATTTATACACACATATATCTTGGAAACGTGAAGGCCACAACTCAATATGTGTAGCTTTCGAAATCTATATAGAAAAGATTAAGGCTAATCATTTGATTTGACAGCAATAGAATTTTTTTTGTTGCGTCTTGTATGGATTATGAATATATTATTAGTCATTAATTAGTTATGCTTAATATAATAATAAATGACAGCTTTATTAGTTTTTATTGATAATCAAAGCAAAGTCTTTTGTTAACTAGCATAAAAGTAAAGATGTTTAGAGGCATGTATTTGAAAATTGTGAATAATAAAAATTCATGTGATTTGGAATTTATGTTTTTAATGCTCGGATAGCTTTATCCGTGAACTTCCAATTTTTTTTGTCTGTTTTAGATTTGTGGATCTTATTTTCTTCAAATGCTAGCAAATCATTTGAAAAACCCACAAGATTTATTGCATTAGAAATTTAATTTAGTTATATCTTTAAATAATCATCTATTATGCAGTTAGCCAGTTACTGTAGATTAAGTGAAGACTTTCGAAACTGTAATTGTACTTAAATATATATATTTAAATCAGTTATTTTAGTTTTTTCCCATCATCTTTTCAGATTACTATAGTTTTTCAAGTTGTTGGACCAAATCTTTGATTACATTGCAATGCATACATATTGTCATATTGGTTTAGTTGATGAATGAAAATTAATTAAAGGCGAGAAAATTATACTATAGTTGAACCAATTTTATAAAACCAAGAGACCTTTACACTAGTTGTTAACCACTATATATGGTGGTTAATTTCTTCGAACGGCTAAGATTCGATCATATCTTTCCTTCATGGCATTAAACCATATCAAGGTATGAACCCTCATTTTTTATTTTGTGAACTATATGAATCCTCTTTCTGAGCCCAAAATGAGACCACTTCATTAGAGAAATATAAATGATTTTGAGTCAGATATTAGGATCCATCTTCATTTTCAATATGAAATATTCTACCACATTATTTATTTTTGGTTTATAAAAAAATATAATCTAAGAAACACATTGTAATTGTTAAGAAACGCTATGTGTAATGAGGACATTACCAATCGTTTAAATGCTTAATCAAAATATTAAAAAGAGTTATAAGAAAATACTTTATGATACATATTATAATATAAGTTTAATAAAATATCATGATTTGTAAACAAGATAGTTAATTAACTACATCTTTAAAGTTACAAGGAAAACCAATGATTGTATTTTATATTAAAAGAAATTTTGTTTAGCTAAAAGGATAAAAGTGTGCTTCATTTTTTAGTCTAATAATTTAAACTCCAAATTCTAGTTGTTATACTGTCCAAATCCAGTATTATAATTGAAATAAAACCTTTGAAGAATTAGGCATACGTAACATTTACTTATACATATAAAAGTATGTATTAGACGAGGAAAATACCTAGACCACTTACATGCCATTTAGACAACATATACTGCTTAAACGCCACTGAAATTTTGTCTGTACTTAAAATATGATCGTCACGGTATGAATCAGCTAACATTTTGTTAAATTGTGGAGTGACAATTTAGATTTAAGATTTAAATCATTAAATTCTTAAACCCATTCTAGTCCAAAATTTTTTTTTTTTTTTTTTTTTTGAATATCAGGAAGTTCGGAGCCAAAACCCGTAGTCCCCCTAACCACAACATATAATATTAGTCCAATTTTTGAATAGTTGTGTTGGAGTGGATGTAACTAGTAAACGGATGGAATTGGTAGTTGAACTAAAACTCGTGGAATGGATTACCTAAACCTTTAACTAATTTACTTATTGTCTCATACATAACATCGGTAAACAAAACTGAAAACTCTATTCTCCTTGTCCTTGGTCGGATAAGATATTCGTTTTTCAGTTTTCCGTTAAAATATATACAAATTTTATATTCTCCAATAATTGATCAAGAATATATATACCTTCATATTTATTTATATATTACCACTACTCTTTCATGTCTCCTTCCAATTTTTATTTGTCTTTAAATACTATTCCAATCTCAAACGAAAGAGTATTTTGTCTCTTTTCTCTTTCTTCTTCATTTTCATCATCATCCTCTTCAATCATTTCTGTTTCTTTTCTTCTGTTCGATTCATTGCTCTCTATACCAAATTTTATTTTGTTCTTTTTAACATTATTATAGTAGTGTTTCAGTTCTTTATATAAGTATAGACAGATTTTTATTGTTGTGTTTGATTGGAGCATGGCTACAAGATTCAAAGGGCTTTATAACAAGAGCTTCAAGTGTTTCTCCGACATTTTTGGTAAATCGATGAAACTTCTAATCTTGTTTAGCTTTATCTTTAAATGGAAATGAATAAGCATTCTAATGATTACAAAAATGGATTAAATTTGTAGATGTGGAGGAGGAGGAAGAGATGGAAATTGGTTATCCGACTGATGTTCGACACGTGTCACATATCGGTTGGGATAGTTCATCGAGTAGTGCACCTAGTTGGGTAAGAAATTTTTTTTTTGGCAAACATTTAGAAACAATGGTTTTTTTAGTTACAACGTTGATGTGCTCTGTTTCTATGGATTTCATCATTTTTACTCTGTTTCGATGATTCAATATATCAGATGATCAAAAAACATTACAACGATTGATCGATTTCGGTTAGGTTTTAACCGCTTAATGGAATTTTGCAGCTACATGAATTCAAGACGAGCAACAATGTTTTAGAGCCAAACTCATCGTGGCCATTTCAAGGCAAGTGTTTTTTTCTCTATTATATTTAACTTTCTGTCAATAATAAGAAAATGATTTCCACGTATTGTTACTTCTCATTGAAATGTAATACTTGATTGGTTGATGCATAAAACTAATATATATGTTTGAAAACATAAATCCTAATGAAATGTGTTTTAAAAATATATAGATTTGAAATCAGCGATGGAGGCATTTGGAGAAGTTGAAAGCAGCAAAGAAATGGAAAGAGAATCACCAAAACAAAACCTGAAGAAGAAACTCTCTTCAAAAGCTTCTCTATTGTGTAATTCATGGTCACCGAGATTCTCAAGATCAAGCAAGGTCCTTGCTTAATTATTTTTCATTTTAATTTCCCATGCCATTGTTTATAAATAATATATAGAGCATATAGTGAGATATCAATCTTAATGTTTTCATTCGAGATACGTCTTTTCAGAAGTGTGTACAAATTAATATTCATATTGTCTTTGCAATGATATTGGAATGGTTTCACTAATTTCACAAATTATAGTTTCAAAAAGTACCCTTAAATTTTCTCTTAATCTAATAATTATGACTTCTTTTAGATCTATATTTTTGTTTTTGAATTGCAAAATTTCTGAGGAAAAAATAGAGTACAAATCTAGTTCAATCGGGTTGTGAATGTGATGGAAAGAAACTATGTCTATAAGGTTCGAAAAAGTTTCTACTATACGACATTCTATTTTGAAAGTATCAGGATTCTGGCTTCAAAATCTTGACTCATAACTCATGCAAAGCAAAACAATCGTTTGAAATGCAATGTGTAAAACAAGCAAAATTCATGAAATGGGTAAACCAAGTGTTCAGAATAAATCACATGTTGATTTGAGTCGTGTGAAAGGCCTGCTTTCTAGACCTCACCTTTTCTTTTCTTTAGCTTCTTATGATCTTGATCAGCTACACTCAGAAAGCAAAATCATAATATAAGTATTCTCAACTACAAACTGATAATTTTATTATACTTCCTAAACACAAAACAAACCTTGGCACATTGAGTTATTTTGCAACTCTGATAGATAGCTTAACTATATATCTGAATTGTTGCAAACATCTAAAACCAAACCATCCATCAGATGTCATATCCAATAAAGTAGCATAAATGAAGATAAAACCAATAATTTTCAAAAATCTCACCACTCCTAGGCTCTCCCTCTCACGGCGTGATTCAGTGAAAACAACGTTTGGGAAAGATGTCACCAAGTTTATCTTTAGAGTAGACTGTACAAAGGAAATATAATGACAAAACCAGAAAAATGTTTGGTCCTAGTGTCTAATACCAAAAATTATTAGTAAACTTATCCTATATGCTGCAGCTTGTAAAGTAATATTGTCTTCCCATTTTCTAGATCTGTAATTTGAGAGTGAGATACAAATATTTTATAGATAACTTAAAAAAACTAATGATAAATGCTATATGGCAATTTGTAATTTATTAAATTATTTTATTTGGCCAAGTTGAAATGGTGTCATTTTTTATGCCAGTTAAAAAATCTGGTGAATGGGTTATTCGATGACTATCTTTATTCTTGAAAGATTAATCGGATGATAAAAGACCTGATAATCCTGATTATAAAAAACCAAAAACGAAATGGTCAATATAGTTAATACATATATTCGTAGGTTCATTGGCTTATGCGGATATAGTAATGGACATACTTTAAAGTCTAGCATATATTTTCCGGCCCATTTATTAATATCTGTCTATAGGAACCTATGTAGAGGACTGTTGAAGAAATGGAGAATGGTAGCAGGACATAATACATTTTAACAAAAAAAATGATGATAAACTTGTAGAAAATTTGAACAGCGAAACGAAAACGACTTGAGATTCAATATCAATATTTGGTGCTGTCCAGTTGCCAATGAGATAAATTTTCTGAGCTTTGAACTTTTTTTTTTTTTGATCATATTAAACCTAAGAATATTACAATTTAAAAAATTTAACAGCAAAAATATTTAGCGTTAAGAAATAAGAATTCTAAATTATATTAAAGTCTGACGCTGCTTCTAGAATATTATACTCTCTTTGTCCCAAAATAACAAATATTTTAGATAAAAATGTGAAGATTAAGAAAATATTTTTACAAACTAACCATAAATTAATAATTAGTTAAAAACAAAAATCAACCAATCATAAAAAGACTGCAAAATTAAAATAGTCAAAAATCTCACAATATAAAAAATCTGCATAAGAATTTGTGAAACATCTTATAAAGTAGACAAAAAAAACATCTTATAAAATGAGACAAATGGAGTAATAAACACAAATACAAATTATTGTTAATTGTTTAAAAGAAAATCTACAAATGGAGTGTTTTTAGAATTCTTTTTTTTTTGTGAAATTGAATTCTTTATTTCTTAAAAAGGTATTTTTTTTCCCCTTATCATCTGAGTTGTTTTTACTAGTATTTTAATTGAACATTGGGTAAACGATGAACATTAACTCTATTGTGTTACCAATTCATGACGATTTCAATGTCTAATAGTAAAATGAATCAACGACTCATATTTCACGGAGCAAACGCGCATGCAGAAAAATCCATCAAGTGAACAATTTGGAAAGCGATATTTCTGATGAATCGTTGATTTCCCCAATATTACGAACTTTCCTGAAAATTTTCCTAGCCGTCGAATATGAACCAAATTTACTACCTGACCTATAAACACACACATATACTGATATACACATGCAAATGGACAAATGTGTTCTATGAATCAGTGTTGGTGAATGGAGAGTTTGTCGTGTAATGAGAGTTGCATGTGTTCAACAACTTTGTTATGTTTTGTAATTTTCCTCTTGTGATATTTTCTACGGTGAGAATTCCATTTGCGAGTTTACATCAATGGTGAAGCCTGTACGTCCAACATGTGACCAGCCCTTCTTTATTTCAACGGTCCAAATTAACATTACATTAACATACACATATATGTTATATATTGAATACTATAGATCCTGTTCTTTTTATTGTCGTTAGCATCGATGACGAATGAAAATGACAAACGATACATCGTGTTGTTCGTGTTATTGTTGCCAAAACGATAAGTGATAATAATGAAACTATGTTTATTGTATTGCCTTTGGTTTACGACGATCTATTGCAACGATGAATTTTGGTAATTAAAGATATAAGATTTTCAAATACTAAAAAAGCGTTTTCAATATTTTCTTGGAACTGATTATGTTCTGATTATAGCTCAACTTACAAACTAACTTGTCACATGTAAATTACTCATTGACTCGTGACAACCATTGACGGCAGGAATATCAAAATCGTGGTTGGAAATATTTTAAGTCCTTTTGACATATATATATTCTAAGTCCATAAAGGAGGAGAAAATAAAATTCTTGAATATTGAAAATTCTTTTCTATATAATATAAAAGGAAATAAAATCAAAGAGAAATACAATAAAGACAAGTTTTTTTTTTCTATTTTAAAATACCTATACTTTGGAAAAGGCACCAAAATGTCACAAAATTTATATTTAATTAGGGAGGGGTCTTTAAAATTTTATTAAGAATTACTAAGCCGAAACTAAATTCGTAAAACTATTTCCTCAGTTTTAGATTAAACCGTTTAAAATTCTCTCCTAACCATTTTAGTGGAGAATTTTGAAAAATAAAACATGAAATGTTGTATTTTTGAGAACTTCAAAATTTCGAAACGCACAAATTTAAGGTTCATATCCTAAAATCAATTATTATTATTAATTTTTTTTAGAGAAATTCATAACATTATTATTTAATATTTTATGGTCTGAACATATGAGGCAATAACGTTTCATATTTTTTGTATTCAATTTAATCTTAAACAAATTGATAAATTATCAAGATAATAATTGAATACGTGTATACTAACTATTTGCTACCTCTTTTTCAAAAAAAAAAAACTATTTGCTACCTTAACGTAACGTATCACCCAAAGGCTAACACTTGGTCCCTTCATAGTCATAGATTTTAGTGATCACAGTGAAGACAAAGTTTGTTTAAACATCGTTTCAAAAAACAATATAAATTATAAAAAAGCTTAAAAATTTAAACAATGTTTTATGGAAAAAAAATATTTTCATTAGTTTTTTTTTCCAGTAAATTATCATTAGTTATTACTATATAACCTCAAACGATTTACTTAACTTAAAAAAATTCATAATTCAAAAAGAGAAAAATGTCATTTTAATCATCAGTTATTTATTTTCGTTGATTTAAAGCATGAACTCTGTACGTGGTGATTATAATACTCAATTTTATGTTGACTATCAATTTAATCACGAATTCTCGTTGACAAAACCAATTAATGCACAAAATCGGAATCAAAAAAAGAAAATTGATATCAAAATTAGAACTTCAAAATTAAAAAATTATCTCGGTTTCTTCTATAATCCCCTTGATTTTTTCTTAAATCCCGATTTAATCTTAGTTTCTCAAGATTTCTTCTTTCGATTTCGATTTTGTATCTCAATTGGCTTTTATCAACGAAAATTCATAATTAAATTGAAAGTCAAAATAAAATTGAGCATTTTAATCACCAGATGCAGAGTTCATACTTTAAAATCAACGAAAATAGACCAGTGATGATTTAAATGACAATTTTCCCAATTTAAAAACCTTAAACTAATCTTTAATGAGCTCATGCACCGCCTCTCCGATATTTTGACGAAATTACCTATACAATACAAACACCAAACCATAAGCATAAAGGGTATATTCGTATATTACAAAAATATCTGAATACTCTAAAACTTGTCGTTACACTCAAAACGAAACCTTTCCCTCCTCTGTTCTCAAACTTTCTATAAATTCTCTTCTTCTTCCTCTTCCACTTTCCCAACAACACAAAGTCTCTCTTGCTCTCTATCTCTCTCTGATAAAATCTTAAACCCACCTCTAGATCATCGTCTTCATCAATTACCCACAAAAAAAAAAACACAATGATCTCTTCAATCAAACCAGCTTCATCGTCCATCTCCATCGCCATCTCCGGAGGCCTAAGGCGGTCAATTCCTACAAAGCTCAAGTTTTCTCCTTTACCCATCATCAAAAACTGCCATAACCAAAGCTTTAACTCCAATGTCCTCTCCCATCAAAAGCCTCTACACATTTCATCTGCTTCGAATTTCAAGCGTGGTGAGGTCAAAGTCGAAGCTTACGAGGCCGATCGATCTCGTCCACTCGACATTAACATCGAGCTTCCCGACGAACAATCGGCGCAGAAACTGAAAATCGGAATCTATTTCGCGACTTGGTGGGCACTTAACGTTGTTTTCAATATCTACAACAAGAAAGTCCTCAATGCTTTTCCTTACCCGTGGCTTACTTCGACGTTGTCTCTCGCTTGTGGTTCTCTGATGATGCTTGTCTCTTGGGCTACTAGAATCGCAGATGCTCCTAAAACTGATCTCGATTTCTGGAAAAGTCTCTTCCCGGTAAGAAATTAGGGTTTCTTGCACATAGTTGTTGCTCAACGGATTTCATCTAGTTTTATACAAAATTCTAAAAAGGTTTCGATCTTTTCTGACGATTGTGAGCTCCATGGAATACTCTGTTTTCCGGTAAAAACTTAGAATTTGCTCTGTTTTCCGGTAAAAAATTTGGATTTACTCTGTTTTCTGGTAAAACCCTAGGAATTACTCTGTTTTCCGGTAAGAATTTAGTGTTTTGTTGCCAAATTTCTCGCATAAAACTGATCTCGATCTCTGTTTTCGGGTAAGAATTTAGTATTTACTATGTATTCCGGTAATAATTGAAGATTTACTCTGTTTTCGGGTAAGAATTAAAGATTTACTCTGTTTTCCGGTAAGAATTTAAGATTTACTCTTTTTTCCGGTAAGAAACTGATCTTGAGCTCTGTCTTCCGGTAATGGTTTAGGGATGTTGTTGCTTGATGGATTTTGTTTAATAACGATTGAGAGCTCGAGCTAGACAAAGATAATGATTGAGACTGTCAAATTAAAAAACCAGAACATGGTGGAACTTGTTTGTTGTCTTGTAATGAAAAGTGTTTTTGATCGATGTTTGCTTCTTCTTCTTCAAGGTCGCTTTAGCACACACGATAGGACACGTTGCAGCAACAGTGAGTATGTCAAAAGTAGCAGTTTCCTTCACACACATCATCAAAAGTGGTGAACCAGCGTTCAGTGTCTTGGTCTCAAGATTCTTCATGGGAGAGACTTTCCCTCTTCCCGTCTATCTCTCTCTCTTACCAATCATCGGAGGCTGCGCTCTTGCCGCCATCACAGAGCTTAACTTCAACATCACTGGTAAAACTCACAATCCAAGAAGATTGGTTTCTATAACCAATGGAATTCACATTGTAACAGTTCTTTGATTTATGGTCTTATGTGAAATTTTGTGGGGTTTTGTTGGCAGGGTTTATGGGGGCAATGATATCGAATTTGGCATTTGTGTTTCGGAATATCTTTTCGAAGAAAGGGATGAAAGGGAAATCAGTGAGCGGGATGAACTACTACGCTTGCTTATCGATGATGTCTCTAGTGATCCTCACTCCATTTGCTATTGCTGTCGAAGGTCCTCAAATGTGGGCTGCTGGTTGGCAAAATGCGGTTTCTCAAGTCGGACCAAACTTCGTCTGGTACGAACTAAAACCAAATCAATAATCTTTAATAGTTTGTTAAGTTTCATGGACTTCCAATTCAAACATCTATGAGTGGATTGGTATATATTGCTTTAGTTCCTTTCTAACTCAAGATATAAGATTCTAACATGTTTTGATATCATATTGAGATATAAACTTTTGCAGAAACTTACTGTTTTGTGTTTGTTTTTTAAATCAACAGGTGGGTAGTGGCACAAAGTGTGTTTTACCATTTGTACAATCAGGTCTCATACATGTCATTAGACCAGATTTCGCCGTTGACTTTCAGTATCGGTAATACCATGAAGCGGATTTCCGTCATTGTTGCATCGATCATCATTTTTCATACCCCGATTCAACCAGTTAATGCACTCGGTGCTGCCATTGCGATTCTTGGAACATTCCTCTACTCACAGGTAAACAAACAAACTTTGTTCTTGTTTAGCTACCAAATCACTTGATGATATTAGGAGAAATATTAATATTTGGTTCTTTGATGAAATAATCAAAATGCAGAAAATTGCCCTTTTTCGGGTTCTCTACTTGTTCTTAAGTGAATAATTTCTAGTTCTAATCTTTTCATTAACGTTGTTCATATGTTCTTTGCAATCATTGAGCAGGCGAAGCAGTGAGGATGGTTTAAGAGGCAGTTTTTTGGGTTGATTTTGAAACAAAAAAAAACTAACAAGAGAGTAGTAGCTGGAGAGGAGAGAACATTCCGGTGAGATCAACATCGGAAAGTGTTTTTTCCCGGTCAATGGATATGAAGAAACTGGAGCTTGAAGTTGCTGACCATGTTAGAGTGTTTGCTTTTTTTCATTGTCTCATATTAGATTCTGCATAAGACCGACTAATTCTATATATTATAGAAAGTATTCTTGTGTCTTCTGTTTTTATTTTGTTTGGATGATGATAATAAATAAATAAGTCATAGTAATTTCTTGATCAGACCATCTACTAAATTATTTCTGAAGTATCTATCAGTTATGGGCCTTATGGCATGTGTAATACTTTGAGAAATCAGAGAATATAATGAGGTGTCTCTACTGGCCTATTTACATATCATATTAGGCCATTGGGAAAAAAATCTACTCAATCTATTCCTTATAATTGGTCTTAGTTAGCTATATTGGTCTCTCACCCACTCTCTTATCCCAAGAAGAACATTAGAAAACTCCACTATTGGGCCTGGTCCATGTACTCTCTAAGTTCGTCTATTCTTGGCCACTGTCTCCATTTTGTGGGTAGGTTTAGTCAAGTAAATGAAGATAAAATAGAGAGTTTCTCCTTCTAGACATCATTATTCCTATCTTTTTTGGTAAACTGTTAAGTATTTATACCATTTTCAGATTTGCGACAGCGGTTACAGAGGAAACAAAGAAGACAGAAAATCCAAAATCTACAACAAAAATCTACAAAAACTACGAAAAATTCGACAAGGAAAGCACAAGCGATAACAATCACTAGAGGTTCGAAGAAGAAAAACCGGATCCGAACAGCGAAGTTCGGAAATTTGCGTGATTGCTTCACCTCCAAAAAACTGGAGTCCTCATCGTCGTTGCCACGAGCAAATCTTATCTGAGGCCCGTCCTCAAAACCCCAGACCAAAAGAACGCTTACAGCTTCTCCGAAAACTAACGCAAAAACGAAACCGCTTGAATGATATCACTAGAAGTTAAGAATCATAAGTTTAATCTCTTTAATAAGTTTGATCGTTGGTATAGGGATCTATAATCCAATGACCGCAAAATATTTACGGCATGCAAAACTTTTATGTCAAGTGTGTTTGACACCTTTTTTTTTTTTTTTTTTTTGACACACGATCTCTAAAATTTCAATTATGTAGATGTTTTTAATTGTATCAATGCATTTAATGCTTGGTTGGCTTCTTATGGAAAAAGTGTGAGCCATCACCAAAATTTGTTAAAAAATTGAGTAATTCACATTGTTTTAGGAGCCTTTTTTTGGTTGGTTGGTTAGGGTGCTAGAACCCATTAAATACTAGTCATCTGGGGTCTGAGTAATTTGTCCGCTGTTTTAAACGATTCCGAATTTTGTTTCTATACGTTGTGGTCAGATCTGGTGGCCTGAAAATCATCCTCAATAATCAAATGTTAATGCGCGTTTAATATTTTATTAAATTGTGATCATATTCTTTTGCGATCTAGTCAGTAGTCACTCACTGTAGTGAAGTTGGTGAGACGACACCCACCCAAAACGAGTACGTAAATCAATTCCGGCTTCAAATTCACATTATTTTATGCTAATATTGTCGGTAGATGAGATTGATACATTTATATATATCATATATCCAAGGTTGGGAAATTGTTGTTGGTCGTTGATAAAATATTTAAGGTTTTGACTTTTGACTGAAAATGTAAAATTGTCCAGATTCTGAATGTATTTCTTTTGTTAAAAGATTTCAAGTTGCTGCATGTTAAATTGGTAAAAATCTCAACTAATCTCCTTTGTGGTGTAAATTTTTATTTTCAAATGGATAATCTCCACTGATTTTAAGGACCAACTGCAGGACGAAAATATCGAAAATCTTGAATGAATAATAAATATTATATTTATATACAATGTAACTTAAAGTTTCAAAATTTGATGTGATTAAGTGTAATTTCAATTTTACATCAAATTTTGAAATTTAAGTTACATTGTATATATATTTTGCCGAATTTATTGGATAGTATAAACTACCCTAAAAGCTTTGTTTTAGAAAAGAAAATAATTCACAACAAGAATATATATTCGAAATCACTATAACCAAAGAGTTACATTCACACGATTGGACGTGATGGAGAGAGCTCACATCTCGTCTGGCCTCGTCATCATCGTTATCTATTGAAGATATGGCAAGACAGACTTTACTCACATAATCTATTCTTTACCCATTCTTGGTTTGGTAAAGAACGACGAACCAACAACTAGACAACGAAACGTCCCTCTTGTTTTTTTTTTTGACATAAAATTAGTGAAAATATATTTAAGTTAAATACCATTAAGAGTAAATTTGTAAAATATTATTAAAAAAAAAACTAATCGTACTACAATGGTAACTATCATTTGAGTTATCTACAATTCATAAAGGACTAGTCACCTTTTAACCGTTGGTGGATCACATCATTGCAAAATCAGTTTACTATTGGGTTTGACAATGATACGATTCATCAACTACCATTCGATAAACCGGGTTATCAAATCAGTTTACTATTTGTTGGTAAACCATGATTAGGATAATCACTCTACAATTATGTTACTAACTTACCATTCAGGACCATCGTCACCTACCACTGCGCCACGAAGGAAAGTGACAAACAAGAAGCAAAAATGGTCTAATTAATCTTTCTTTTTTCTCATGGACCACATTTAAATCGTTATGTGGCAATTAAGTTAGAGGGTATTATTGGTTCTTAATTTACAAGGAATTTTGATGATTTTAATAAAATTATAGAAAATAAATAATTGAAAGATTCTAAACTATTGTTAGAGAGTTTTCTATAATCTTGTTGATTAGTTTTTTCATAATCTTGTAAAGTTTCCCAAACAATCTCTCTATTTTGATGATAGTTTTCATGACTTTATTTTGTGAAGAAAAGTGTAGAAAGTCATAAAACAATAACATAATAATTTAATTCATTTTTTTTTTTTGTCGTCTAGATTTATTATTAATTGCAAATTATGAGAACTGTTACATAGACGATTCTACAACTGACAATTCCTTCCGACCCTTATTAGATCTACGACAGACTACACTTCCTTCTTCATAATCTTGATAATTACCTTCAATGATCCACGACCTGGCGACAATTCCTTCTCTGCGTAGAATCCTGGCGAGCGGCTATAATTGTACATCGCTGGAGATCTCCTGCACACTTGCCTCTATTAATCTGCAAATTTGTTAATAAATCGCAATATCTGGGACTCGAACCCCATACCTCTTGGTGTAGAAGCATTAATCAACCCTTGGTCAACCAATGGGCCAAGGGGGCTTCCACTAATTTAATTCATTAACAATAGATTCTTTTGTTTTAATTAAATAATACAAAACTTTTAATGATTTTATAAAAGTATGAATCCAATAACTCCAGATTAATAAAGATTTTTGATTACTTTTTACAAATTTTAAATTAATAACACTAAACTTTAACGAACTTTTAAAAAATCTTAATTGAATAACAACCGATTCTACGTAACATTTAAAGTCACTGAAACTTTTTTTAAATCACAAACTTTACTTTAAGAAAGGTTAAATGGATACATAACTAATTGCCACAGATTTGATGACTATTAAAACTCGGCCCAAAACTTATCCGGTATCGTGTAAAGAAGCTCTTGGGCTCCACTCTTGACGTTGCTCATTTTATCTACTTTTGTTGGTTTCTTGGTGACCTTTGACGTTTATATACATAGAGTAGACAGATTTGACATTTTCTCAATAATGCAGCGAAAATATTTCACGTTTCTTACATGTAAATTTATATATAATAGTATAACAAATCTCTCAAGACACACAATAGAATCAAGAACAATGAAAACGTTAACCAGTTTTCTAGTTGTTATCTTATTACAAAGCTTATTGTTTCATGTTTATGGTCGTCATCAAAGTTCTTCACAGAACATTTTAGAAGATTCGTCTCCATTTCCTTCTGATTTCCTCTTTGGTACAGCTTCTTCGGCTTACCAGGTAATTATTTTTCTTCCCATTATATTGATAATTTAATATAAGATTTTTTTAGTCTATCTCTATTCCAAAATGTAATTTGTTTAAATATTAAGTATTTTTTTTCTTAAAATAGTATGAAGGTGCGTTCTTGACTGATGGAAAAAGTTTGAACAATTGGGATGTTTTTACGCATAAAAATCCTGGTATGTATTTTATTTTGGTTTCCAATTTGGTTAATTTTCTATTTGAAATAGTTTAATATTAGCTTGAATTTTTTTTTATTCACATATTCTATTGACAAGTATATCTTGGAATTGCAGAGAAAATACTTGACGAGAACAATGGAGATATAGCTGTGGATCAATATAACCGATTTTTGGTTATTTTCTTATGATAATAATTTCATTCTATTTTTGTTCTTGTTCTTTTATCTTATTATATTCTTAAATTATTTGATGTTGTTATTTAATATTATCTTCTATATATGCTTAGGAGGACATCCAATTAATGACTTTCCTTGGAGTGAACAGTTATAGGTTTTCAATTTCTTGGTGTAGAATCTTACCTAGTAAGTCCTTTACTTAAACTAGGTCGAAACCCGCGCTACGCTGCGGGACTATTTTTAAATTTGTTTTTTTGATGAAATTGTTTGACATTAATTAATTTTTAGAGAACAACATGCATAAAAATGCATCAAGTGGTTTACGCAGCGGGTAGTTTGTGTAAATTAATTTTTGTTTTAATATAAGTATAAATGGAATTTCTCGGAATTGGTATTTTACCTTTGTTTTTATATTATGATATACATAAATATTTTCAGCGACTATTATACTTCAAGAACCTTAGATTCTTTATATTAAAGATATTTATAGAACACAATCATAATTTCAAATTTGAATCATACTAAAATATATAATATGTTTTTATTTTTTAAATAATTTTTTTTTTATCATTAGATCACAAGAATTAGCTACTAAAAATTATCTAGATTCTAGATACCAAAGAAAAAAAATTGTAAATGCGTTGTGGGAAATACATATTGGATGAAATGGGAGCTTCTTCCCTAGTAAACCAAAATGAACACGTTAAAGAAATAAACTAATTGGGCTTGGTAACT